GAGGCAGGTGAGCCTGTCCCAGCAAGGAGCCCAGTGTGGCTCAGCTGGAGTGTGAAGGGGCGAGCAGAAGCAGGTGAGGCCGCGCTGAAGCGGGGAGGGCAGCTCACGAGGCTCTACAGGCCCCCGTGAGGTTGGCCATGAGGAGGAGCCATTGGCGGCTTTCGAACAGGACACCAACATGACCTGCTTTATATTTCTAAAGGATGACTCTGGCAGCTGGGTGGAGAATCGGGTACGGGACTAGAATGAAAGCAGAGCAGTGGGTTAGGAGGCCACTGTGATAACCCAGGCAGTGAAGAGAGAAGGGTAAGGGAGGAAAGGAAGAGAGGAGGAGAAGGAAGACAGGAGGGAAACAGGAGCGGGGCCTCACTCCTATTGTGAAGGTAAAGTCAGCAGGGCCTGTTACGGACCAGACACGGGGTATGAGGGGGGAGGGCTAAGGACAACCCCAAGATTTTCAGCTCAAGCAAGTGCCGTGTACTGAGACTGGATAGAGAAGTCTGTCCATTACACATCCACTATGAGTCCGTAATAGGACTATGTACAGATACAACTATGAGAATGGCCTTCTGAGGGGTCATTTTCAGGAAAAAAATAAAGAAAAAAGCAATTTACCTTACCTTCAGGCACTGACAGAACATTTTGTACCTACAACTTCACCTCTTCTACTACATTCAGGAAGCCCTCTATCCCCCCTCCTACAGACAGGCCAGGCAGGGTCGGACAATTCAAAAGCAGTTCCAAGCACAGTAGATAGTGTGGTTCCTGGCCAGGGGCAATTCCGCCCTATGAGCAATGTCCGGAGGTAGCTACTGCCATCTAGTGCGACACAGGCTCAGAATGCTGCTACACATCTCACAGTGCCCAAGACCACCTCCTACAACAGAGTTATCCAGTCCCAAATGTCCAGAAGCGCCACTGTTGAGAAATCTTTGTACAGTGGCAAGAATCCAGGCTGTGAGTTGGAGCTACCTGCGCTTGAATCCAGGACACCTTTCCACCTTTCTGTAGTCTTTTCCGGGTACGAAGGATGTGCTAAAGGACCATTCTTCTATGGCAGCATTGCATGTGACTTGGGAGCTTCCTAATCCCAAAGTCAGGGAGGAACCCAGGGGGATGGAGAAGGAAGCCAGGCCAGGGTTCTCACACCTGAGGGGACTAACTAGTCACAGCACCACAGAGCCAAGGCCAAGTTCTTACCCTAAACCGCCCCCAGCACATACAAGTCTTCTCCCCAGGAGCGCCCATGCAGCTTTCCTGCAGCATGCGGGACTTACTGCGCTAGGCGCAGAAAAACTACAACAGTGATGTGGGCCGAGCTTTAAACACTGAATCTCAGAGAGCCCTTCTTCCCTTTCCATTGATTTTTCAAGCTTGCCCCATCAAAGAGAATGTCTTAGTTTGATCCTGATCTTAACATTTCTCTAATGTTTGCTAGTCTCCTTTACGTGGAAGCCCCAGATTCAGTGCGTTCAGCAGGCAAAAGAACCCGGCTAGAACTTAACAGCGTTTACTCTATTTATAGTTACGTTTCAGTGAAAAAAAGTGATGATACCAGCTTTCCATTTTTAGTGGAGATACTGGGTTCATTACTGGTTTCCTTTTAAAATGCTGTTAGAGTTTTGTGGTTTCTTTTTTTCCTTTTTTAAAAGGGGTCAATTTAAAGAAACATTAAGTATTAATGGGTGCTGTGGAATACAGTAAAAATCAGGAAGGAGGTACAGAAATGACTAAGATTTGCGAAACACTGTTTAGCTTCTCTGACATTCCCAAAGCAAAAGCCTAGCTCGGCCTTCCCCCAACCCTTCTCACCTACAGCTCGCTTCCTTCTCGGTGACATTCCCATCCACCTGAGCACAACTTGTAAGCTGTCACAGGAATGCTGACGTATCAATTGGATAAGCCAGGGAAGACGTTCATTCTGTTCAACAACCAGCTCTCTGCTAGGCCCTGGACAGACCCATCCAGTCTCCAGTAGGGGGCTGGGCTAAGTTATGGCTAATGTTCTAGCCATTAGAAACCGAATCCATCTCAATTCTTACCATCAATTGTCACAATGCCTCTGCAGGCAAACTATTTAATAGCATGCCATTTTCTCTCCCCACAGAGGCCAACCCAAGCAGGGGCACTCTCTGTCTTTCCTACCAGACCCTTCATAGAGAAAACCCCCTTCTCAGGGTAGCAGGGCCTGCACTTCCACCGTCTGTGCAACACTTGAACCCACATCCCTCAGCTGTGTCTTTTAGAAAGCAGACATTCCCTCCCAGGCCCAGGTCAGAAGTGAACATTTTCCTCTTCCCCGGTAGCAGAGGTGTCCAGGGCTGCTGACCCATGCCATGACCCAGAAAATGCACAAGATCCAGAAGAAAGAGATCAATCAATCGTGGGCCTTGAACCCCAGTTCTGGGAGCGACGTGCAGTACTCACCTTCTACCGAGGGGGAGAAGATGATGAGATTGTCGTAGAGGAACTCCCCGTACTTAATGAGGGACAGGCTCGGGTCATCTGCGGTCTTGAATGTGAGTTCAAAGGCCCTGTCTGGACGAGAAGAACAGGGAGCTGAGGCAGACGGGACGCCAGGGAAAAGCACCGCTGCAGAGACCACGGCCGCCCGCCGCGAGCGAGAGGCCAGAGTGGACAGCCTCTTCGTGGAAAATCGGAAGGAGCGAGGGAGGGTGGTCGCTGCCCTGGGGCTCGGGAGCTTTTCCAACCCGACTTTCCCCCACCGCCCCCTCGGGCCCCGGTCTCACCCTTCAGGCTTCGGAAGAAAAGCGAGTGCGTCTCCCGCAGGTTGAGGTTGTCCAGCAGCACTAAGGTGCGAGGACCGCTGGCGCAGGCCGGGCCAAGCAAGGGCAGCAGCAGCCACAGGAGAGACCAAGCGCGGGCCGCGGCGCCGGGCTCCATCTTCTTCCTTCCGCCAAGATCCCAAGCACCTGGGCACCGGAAGTGCCCCGTCTAGGCTGCCCAATCGCAGCTCGTGGTCTTGGAGTAACACCCGGAAGTGATCTGGGTACGCCGCGGCCGGGTAGCCGCGGCCGCCGCCGGGACGGAGAAGATGGGAGCGCATAACCGGAAGTGCCCCGGTTGGGGGCGGAGTCTCTAAACGCTATTGGCGGAAGGGGCGAGAGGTCCCGCCTCCTCAAAGGAAAAGGTTCAATCCTAGAAAGACAGCTCCGCAGCCGCAGCCAGTCAAAAAGGCCGAGCGCCCGTAGGCTCCGCCCAGGCCGGACTCCCGCCGGGACCCCCAGATCCCGCCTCTTCATCAGACCGGCCAGTCCCTCTTGGGACCTGGGGCGGCGGTGGCCGCCAGGGAGCACCTCCTCGGTTAGGGTTAGGCTGGAAATAGAAACGATGGCGAGGCCCAGCTCTCCCACTCACCTGCGGCCTTTGGGAAAAGCCTGGGCTCGTGGGAGCTCGAGGACAGGTTTGAAGCACCCGGTGCAGAGTGAGGCTGAGCATCAGCCCCACCACGGGTCTGAGGAAAACCTGCCGCAATCAGTTCCAAGATTTCGGTGACTCTCTGGTTCCAACCACAATCCTGGGGCAAATGGTGAAGGTAATTGCGGAGAGAGAAGGTGGCTGTTCTGACCTTTCACATTTGTCCTCGAAGCGCAAAAGTCAAAATCTCCCTCTATCCGTCTCCTTAACTGATTTCTGCCTCCTCTCCGTCTCCACTGGCTCCGCTGTGAGTTCAGCCTCACCCCTCCCCGGGGCCCCAGTCCAGCAGTCCCGCCCTTCTGCGTATGATCCCACATCGGTCCCCCTGGAACTCAGACCCAGTGATGCCATTTGGTGGCTTAGGAGTCTGCCACAGCTCAGGGACACCCAGGACTCCTCACTCAGGTCTCTGTCGAAGCTGATCTTGGCAGCCACATCCTCCTCTCAGCCCTGCTCAGGGCTTCCCTGCTGCAGGGCTCCAACCTTGAACACACACTCCACCTCCTGCCTTTGCTCATGCCCTCCCCATTCCCATCTTAAGCCCCCCAGGATCTTCTCCATCCTTTATGATAGCCCTACCCTTCACAAGGGCACTCTGTTCCCCATAAACACCCGATCTTTCTCCTTCTCAACACGGGTCCTGCAGCCTGCCTGCAGTTAGACTGATCCCCAGGGCGTGAGCTTGGCCCAGGCATGTGGCTTGTGGGATCCACCACAGTAATTAATGCAAAATGCAGAGGAGAACAAACAAAGGGGACTAATACGGGGCACCTGCTACGTGCCGGGAACATCGCTTAACTCTCATTGAACCAATACCCCTAGGAGGCAGCTGTTCCCCTTTCACAGATGGAGCCCAGGGTGAAATGAGTGTCTCCTCTTCAACCAAAGGCCAGGCCTTTTCCCTCAGATGGTGGGGCCCTCCTGCAGGGCAGGCCTGGGATAGAAGGGCAAGGGGAGGGCTGTGCCCTCAATAGCGGGGATGACCTGGGCTCATTCCTGGCCACTTCAGGGCACCCAGTTCCAGCACAGCCCCTGAGGACACACCCCTGGCCTTTTTCTGGGTTTCAGCAAGACACAATCTTTATTGTCCAAAACAAGGGATCTGCTTTCCTAACTCAGATCTTTGGAGAATTGGATGAGGTGCTTGCCCCAGAAAAATGCACTTGTACTCACAAGTGTGGGGAGTTGCGGAAGCCCCACAGCCCATTTTTAAAGGCATCAGGTAGTTAAGAAACACTGCTCCAGAAAGTGCTTCCCCGTGAAGGCCAGGCAGCTGTGGCAGGAGGGGCCCCAATGACACTGTCAGAGGACTGGGGAAGGGAGCTCATCGGTAAAAGGCAGTTTATTGGGGCAGCCTCATGTGGGGAAGCCTCCTCTAGGCCACACACCAGCTGGGTGTGAGCTCCAGGACTTCTGTGCCCACGCCATCCAGCTTCCTGGCCTGGTAGAGGCATGAATGATGGTCTATCACTGAGATGCTGTCCTTGATCAACATGGAAGTTGCTGCCCACTCTTTCGGGGCTGCTGGTGAACGCTGTGAGGTTTCCGAACCCATCGAGGCACAGAGTAACGGAACGGGGGTGGGGGGCACGCGCGGCAGGCTGTGGCAGGTGAGCGGATAGAACACTGATGTGGCATGGAGAGCCGGAGCGCACCTCCGCAAGGATGGGTAACAGGGAAGGGAAAGCCTCTTCCCAGGGCAAGGACCCCTCTCGAGCATCCGGACACCGTGGGGGCAGTGGGGAGGAGGCCTGGCTGGGGCTGCCCTGGTGGGGGTGGGGGGGGTGGCCTGGCAGTCTCACGGAAGCCCCAAGGCAGGGCAGCAGCAGGAGGCCGTGTTCACAGAGGCTCACTGCCAAAGCTGCTTTTGCTTTTCTTACGCTTGGCCTTGGAAAAGGGAATGTCAAGGGACTCGAGGCGGAAGGGCCGGGGCTGGGGCATTTCGGGGGCCTGGGTAGGCGACATGGCAGAGGTGTTGCTGAGTGGGGAGCCAAGGCCAGGGGGCGAGCTGTGATGCCCTGTGGAGAAGGGGGCAGAGAAGCTAGTGAGCCAGGGGACACGGGGATGGGGAGCCCACCTCACCCCACCCAGTTGAAGGTCTGGTCCCACCAGAGGGTCTGGGCCAGAAGCTCGGAGTTCTAGAGACTCAGACTCAGGCAGCCCAGGATCTTGAGCCAGACAGGCCTGCACTCAGGGCCCAGCTGCGTGCAACTGTGACCTCGGGGCACAGGGCCTCAGTTTCCTCATCTGCAACATGGGCACAGTGCCGGGTCCTCAACTGATGTTCATTTGTGTCCTGTGCTGTTTTTCCTTCCTGATTCTCAGCTCTACTGAACTCTGCCTCCTCAACAGTCTCAACGTAGAACTGAGATTTGCTTTTTGTGGCTATTATAAGCTCTGTGGCCTTTGATTTTGCTTTTAGAAATGGAAGAACATGGGGCACTTGGGTGGCTCAATTAAGCATCCAGCTCTTAACTTGGTTTTGGCTCAGGTCATGACCTCAGGGTTGTGAGATCGAGCCAGCGTCAGGCTCCTCAGTGGAGAGTCTGCCTAAGACTCTCCCTCCCCATCTCCCCCTCCCCTTTGCTCTCATGCTCTCTCTCTCAAATAAATACATAAATAAAATCTTGAAAACAGAAATGGAAGAACAAAGTGACTTTGAATTCTTGCTTTTAAAAGTGTTTCACTTCTGTGGCCCCGTCTGCCCCCTTTGGCTCCGTGGGAGAAAGCCACACTACTGACATTTGTGGAAGCCGGTGAGCACATGCCAGGACCCCAGCTGTGTGTCGCAGGCCTTCTGTGCTCGGGGGAGGCAGAGGAACCAAACACGGCGGCTCTGTGCCAGCAGAGGAAGGGGGACAGGGAGAGGGAGTCTGGGCACGGGACACACACATCGTGTGCCAGGCTCTGGGCTGGGCCGCTCCCCCACCTCTTCTCACCTAACCCTGGGAGGCAGGCATGCCCCCTCAGTGTACAGCTGAGGAAACTGAGGCTCAGGGATGGGAAGGGGTTTTTACCCTGGCCCTGACTCCAACCCACCCATCACGTCTATCCCAGCTGGCAGAAGGCCGGGCAGGGCTCTCCCTGGGAGCCGCTGCAGGACAGGAGGTGGGCGGGGCTCTCACCGAGGCTCTTCATGGGATCTGTGCTGAGGATCTGGCTGGCTCGCTTGGACCGGAAGTAGTTACTGGCAATGTTCTCGCTGTCGCTCCGACTGAGCATCAGCCTGTAGCGGTCTTCTTCCTGCTGAGATTCCACGTTCTCGTGGGTCAACGCCCTTTGTTTCTACAGTCCTCCCCTCTGCAAGCCTGCTGGGGTGGGGGCCCCCCGGAGCCTCCCGGCCCACTCTCTGGACCCCACTAGAGACCCCAGACTCCTGCGGTGGGATCCGGGCAGCTCGGGAGAGTCACAGTCCCGCCAAGCCGATGCCACCTGCCTTCCGTGGGATAGGAAGTGTCTTGTTCTCCAGTACCACGTAGTCCAAACCCATCACGACACATTCACAGACTAGGAATGCCCCACGGGCACCATCAAGGTCAATACAACCAGAGCGCCCATCTCTCATCCCCAAAGACTATGATTTGTCACCACTATAACAGACTCTGCGTCAGCCTGACTCTCCCTTCAGGGCTACCCTTCTCCCCCTCGACATGGTCCTGGTGAGGCGACCGTTCTCTGTGCCCTAACACCACCACACCCTCTCGCCCACACCCAGCTGCACAACTGGGCATGTGACCAGCCCAAACCAGTCACAGAAATATACATCTTCCGGACATAAGTCCCTGGTCCGAGAGCAGGCCCCCTGACCCAGACACGGCTGATCAGAATCTTTCCACAAGGGCTGGTTTAAGATGTGGTAAGAGACTGGGTCTCTTCCTCTTGGATCCCCATCTTTCCTGCCGCGCACAGAAAGCCTGCCTGGGTCGAAGCTGGCACCGCCAGGGAAGTGGAACCGAGAGGTGGAGAAGCGCACAGAAAGACGGCGTGCTCTACAGGAAGGTTTCCTGACCTCCACTGTTGTAATACGAAACATGGAAGATGGGAAAACCGAGTGACTCTGGAAGCCCAGTTACTGTTTTGTGGGCCCTTGAGGGCCCTTTGGTTGGAGGATCCCAGCGAGGGCCCAGGGAACCAGAATGTACGGCCTGGCCTCTGCAACTGAAGACGAAGCTTCGGTCCTTGGTCAGCAGGATGGACTTTCCCTCTGGTCTCTAGGACCATAAGTGCCTTTGAATGAGACCCAGAGCAGGGGAGGGGCCAAGAGAGAGACACAGAAAAGATCGCCTCCTGCGCTGACCCTCAGGTGGGAGGGAAGTAGAAGCCCAGGGCCCTATAGGGAGGGTGACCCGCAAAGCCCCTCTCCCCATCACCCCCACCCCACACCAGCTCCCCAAGCCTCACCCCCTCCCCCACTGGCCTTACCGTGCCCGGTTCACCATTGTCTGCTGTGGAGGCTTTGCGGACTGCCTTGTTCTGTGGCCCTGTTGGAACTGCTGTGAGAAACACAAGCTGAAGTCACTGCTGGCTGGTCCCCAGTCCACGGGCCAGAGGGCCAGGGTGGGCAACACTCGCCCAAGCTCACAGGCCCGGAGCGAGGGGAGCACACTGCCCAGGCCACAAGATGACTTTGGGAAACATACCAGGAGGGCTCAGATGCCAAAGCAGCCATTCTCCTGCTTCCCACAACCCAGCGGGCAGGAGAAACCCTGCTGACAGATGCCGGCGCTTGGGAAATGACTCAGAGACTGAACAAACATTCTCTGATGGGGGAGGGGGGTGCTCCCAGCTGTGAGGCCAGAGATAGACCTTCGAGACCACCTTCCCCAGCCCCTTCTTTGTAAAGATCCGGGATCAAGGCCCAGAGAGAAACAATGACCTTCATAAGGTCACACGGAAATCAGGGACAAAAGCAGAAGGTGAACCCATTCCTATCCCGGGTCCTGGGACTCGCGGCTCTGACTGGGACTCTGGTTCAGTCACTTCTCTATCTGAGGTTCCAGCTCCTTAGATGTCAAACAGGAGTGATCATCTTTGCCCTCCCCCGGAGTGCTGGGGGAGCTAATGAGTGAAGATCGCGACAGTAACCAAACGTAGCACTCACTTGCCTCGGGCCGGCCATGGCGCTAAGGGCGTCACACGCATGAACACATGCCAAGCCACCCAGCGATCTTTACAGAAGGTGCGGTTACTAATCCCCATTTCACAGATGAGGACACTGAGTCCCAAAGACGCCACACAGGGAGCAGTGGAGCACGAATTCCAGCCCACATCTGTCTGACTCCAGAGCACACCACTTCTCTCTGGTCCCCACCGTCTTGGAGCCCCAGGGTCCCCCCTGTGGCTGCCGCACCCACAGCCAGCAAGCCCGGGGCCCCGGCTCCGGGTCAGCCCGCAGGAGGGCACGCTGCGCGGAGGAGGCCCGAGGGGACAGCCGAGCACCTGACCTACTGGGAGGCTGGTTTTTATGATGATGGGCTCGGGGATCTTCCAGAAGCCGTTGTCTTCGTCCCAGCAGGCCTCACGCCTTATCTTCTCCAGGTTGCTGTAGTTACAGTCCCGGCGGATGAGGGGCTGCACCTGCTCCAGGAGCTGCTGGAGGAGCATGGAGTCGCGCTCCTGCCGGCGGATGGTGGCCAAGTAATCGATCTTCTCCAGCTGGAACTCCGACTGCAGGTCTTTGATCTCCACCTCTGCTGCCCGGAGCTGAAAGCAAGGGGTCGGGGGCAGCAAGAGGTGAGCAGGGAAGACACCGAGCCATGTCGCCATCTGCCCACCTGCAGCACCCACGGCCTGCGCCTCTAGCCGCCCACTCGCCATGCGGGCGCTGACCCACCCATCCACCCACGTCCGCCGCCCATCTGTCCACTGGCACTAAATGAGCACCTACTGTGTCCACAGCCCTGCAGGAAACAGGAAAAGGACTCACTCATCAGCACCCCCTGCCGGCCCCCGGGATGATCCCGCACAAACACATTTTATCCAGGAGCCTCCGAGAAAGTGCCACACATAACACTGGGGTTACCATGTCCTAAAAGGTCAGAAAGTTGTACAGATTCTTTTCCTGAGGGGAGTGGAGGCATAAACTCTCAGCCTCAGCAGTGATGGCTCTCCCATGACCACGGCCAAGCTATGATGTGACAGACGTCGGACTTAAGAGGCAGAGACACCCCGATTTGACCATGGATTCCACACTTTTGTGATCTCCTGCCCGGGGCTGCCTGAATGGAGATTCCCCCCAAGCACAGGTGACTCCCAGCTGCAACCGTAACCCTGCTGTCCCTGAGCCCCAAGACTCCTGGGTGCACCGTCTGTTTCCTTAAAAGAGCAGGTACAGTTTGGTTAGAAAAGAAGGATGTTTTCAGTTCACAGGGATGGTCATCACATGTAACCAGGCGAGAATGGATGCTGCCTGGTAGGACACAGGTGGGGAATTAATAATGCTCCATTCCTTAAGCTGGATGGTGGATACGTGCTATTAGGGTAAAAACTTTATATATTTTTGTACATCTGGAAAGATCTGGAATCCTTCACAGTGACTTTTGTAACAGATTTATTGAGATAGAATTCTCATGTCCTACAACTCACCCATTTAACATGTACAAGTCAATGGTTTCTAGTATATTCCAAGTAGTGCAGCCATCAGCATGGTCAGGTTTAGAACATCTCATGATCCAGAAAAGGTACTCATCCTCTGCTTCTCCCCAACCCCCAGCCCTATGCAACCACCAATCCACTTTCTGTCTCTCTAGATTTGCTTATTCCAGAAATTTCATATCAAAGTAATATACAATATATGATCTTCTGCGTGTGGCTTCTTGCACTTAACACTGTTTTCAAGGTTCATCCCTGTCAGAGCATGTGTCAGGACTTCCTTTTCTTATTTTTAAAGATTTACTTATTTATTTGAGAGAGACAAAGTGGGGGAGGGGCAGAGTGAGAAAGTGAGACTCTCAAGCAGACGCCCAGCTGAGCACGGAGCCTGAAGCAGAGCTCGATCTCAAGACCCTGAGATCACGACCTGAGCTGAAACCAAGAGTCAGATGCTTAAATGACGGAGCCACCCAGGAGCCCCAGGATTTCATTCCTTTTTACTGCCCAGTAATATTCCATCATGTGGCTATACCACATTGTATTTTCCCTTCATGACTGTTTCCACTTTGAGGTTAGAACGAATATTGCTATGAACATTTGTGTACAAATTTTTCTGTGGCCGTATTTTCATTTCTCTTGCTTGTAACTGCTGAGTCACAGGGTAACACTATGTTCAACCAACAGAGGAAATGCTGGACGATTTTCCAAAGCAGCTGCACCATTTTACATCCCCACCAGCAATGTATGAGGACAGTCATTTCTCCACCTCCTTGCCGATGTCTGTTACACCTGTTTTATTACGGCTAACCCCCGTGGGTGTGAGAGGGTAGCTCTACACCATAGATGGTAGTTTTGTATTGGAGATTTGCGTTTCCCTGGTGGTTAATGACATTCAGCACCAAGTTTCTTGTGTTCATTGCCCATCTGTTTATCTTCTTTGGAGAAATGCCTGTCCAGATCCTTTGCCCATTTCTAAATTGGATTATTTGTCTTTTTATTCTTGAGTCATAAGGGTTCTTTATATATTCTGGATATAAGCACCTTATTGTGATATATTACTTGCAAATATTTTCTCTCATTCTATGGGCTGCATTTTCTCTTTCCTGATAGTATCTTTTGAAGCACAAAAGTTTTAATTTTTATTAAGTCCAATGTATCTATTTTTTTCCCTTTGTTGTTTGTGCTTTGGTATCATACCTAAGAAAGCAATGTCTAATTTATTTTTTAAAGATTTTATTTATTTACTTGAGAGAGAGTGAGGGAGAGAGAGAGAAAGAGCAAGAGAGAGAGAGAGAGAGAGCGCACAGAGGGAGAGGGAGAAGCGGACTCCCCACTGAGCAGGAAGTCTGACTCAGGGCTCCATCCCAGGACCCTGGGATCATGACCTGAGGCAAAGGCAGCTGCTTAACTGACTGAGCCACCCAGGTGCTCCAGCAGTGTCGAATTTAAGGTAACAAAGATTTACACTTTTGAGTTTTACAGTTTTAGCTCTTCCATTTAGTTTCTTGATCCATTTTTTAATTAATCTGTGTATATGGTATGAGGTTGGGGTCCAACATCATTCTTTGCCATGCGGGAATCTAGTTGTCCCAGCACAAATTGTTGAAAAGACCGTAATTTCTTCACTGAATAATCTTGGCACCCTTGTCGAAAATCAACTGACTATAAATACGAAGATTATTTACAGACTCTTAGTTCATTCCATTGATCTATATGCCTGTCTTCATACCAGTACCACACAGTCTGGATTACTGTAAATGTGTAGTATGTTTTGAAATAAAGAAGTGTGAGTCCTCCAACTTTGTTCTTTTCAAGATTGTTTTGACTATTCTGTCTCTGGAATTTCTATATGAACTTTAGGGTCAGCATGTCAGTCGTTGCAAAGAAGTCATTTGGGACTTTGATAGTGATTGCCTTGAGTCTGTAAAACAGTTTGAAGAGTATTCCCATTTAATCATTATTAAGTCTTCCAATCCATGAACATGGGGTCTTTCCATTTATTTAGGTATTCGTAATTTCTTTCAACAAGGTTTTATAGTTTGGGGAATATAAGCTTTATACTTCTTTTGTTAAATTTATTCCTAAGTATTTTATTCTTTATTGATGTATTGTAAATGAAAAATTTTTAAATGTTTATTCTTTTTTCTTAAGATTTTATTCATTTATTTGAGAGAGAGAGAAAGAGAGAGAGTGTGCACAAGCAGGGGGAGCAGCAAGTAAAGGGAGAGGGAGAAGCAGGCTCCCCACTGAGCAAGGAGCCCTATGTTGGGGTAGATTCCAGGACCCTGGGATCATGATCTGAGCCGAAGGCAGATACCCAATGACTGAGCCACCCAGTGCCCCATGGAATTATTGTTTTTTTTTTTAATGTTTATGGATATTATATATTTTTATTTAAGTAGTCTCCACATCCAATGTGGAGGTTTAAACTCATGACTCTGAGATCAAGAATCTCATACTCTACAGACTGAACCAGCCAGGTGCCCCAAGGAATTGTTTTCTTAATTTTATTTGTAGATTGTTCATTGCAAGTGTGTAGAAATACCATTGCTTTTTGCTTATTGATCTTGTATTCTGCAACCTTGCTGAACTTGTTAATTGATCCTAGTAGGTAGGGGTTTTTGTGTTTTTTTAAGCAGATTCCTTAGGACTTTCTACATAAAAGATCATGTCATCTATAAATAGAAATAATTTTATCTATTCTTTTCCAATCTGAGTGCCTTTTATTTCACTTTCTTGCCTACTACCAGCTAGAACCTCCAGCCCAATGTTGAACAGAAGTGGTGAGAGCAGACATCCTTGTCTTGTTCCTAATCTTAGGGTTAAAGCTTTCAATCTCTCCCCATTAAGTATGATGTTACCTGTGGACATTTCATAGATGTCTTTTATCAGAATGAATTAGTTCCCTTCTATTCCTAGTTTCCTGAGTGTTTTTACCATAATAGGTGTTAAATTTTTTTCATATACTTTTTCTGCATCATTAAGATGATCACGTGGGTTTTGTCCTTTATTCTATTGATATGGTATATTACATTAATTGATTTGGGATACTAAACCAACCTTGCATTCCTATGCTAAATCACACTTTGGCATGATGTATAATTTGGTTTGCTAGTATCTTGTGGAGCATTTTCTGTCTATATTCATAAGAAATACTAGTCTATAGTTTTCTTGTTATGTCTTTCTATGGTTTTGGTATCAGGTGATATGGGCCCCATAGAATAAGTTAAGAAGTGTTTCCTTCTATTTCACAATTTTTTTTTTAATGTTTTTTAGCGGCACCTGGGTGGCTCAGTGGGTTAAGCCTCTGCCTTCAGCTCAGGTCATGATCTCCAGGTCCTGGGCTCAAGCCCCACATTATGGGTGGGGGGGGTTCCCTGCTCAGCAGGGAGACTGCTTCTCCCTCTCCCTCTGCTTCTCCTCCCTGCTCATGCTCTCTCTCTCTCTCAAACAAAGTCCTGGGTACCTAGGGATGATGGCAGCTACCTAAATCTGAATCTCTCCATGGAGACCCTCTGAAACAACACACAGAACAGGGAAAGAAAATGAAACCCCCCTCTGCCCAGCCTACACCAGCAGGTCCAAAATACCAGAAGTCCAGCAGAGAGCTGGAGGGCCTGCCCCACAGCGGGAGGAGTGGAAAGCACCCAGCAAAGTGTGGAAGGGGGAGGGCAAGGTGCTGGAAGGCAGATAACATCACTCCCCCAATGAGAAAGCCCTACTTTGAGCAGGGAAATACTGAGGATAGATCGGATACTGCAAAACCCAGAATGCACTGGAATGCAGGTCGGTCTCTGCAAATCTCTGGAGAGACCGAGGGGTGAGTCTCTGCAAGGCATTGCTTCTGGACGGTGTTTAGAAGTGGGAGACCCCTTGAGGTGCAAAATAAAAGTCTGCAGAAACAAGAGACCCCTCCCACTGAACGAGAGATTGAGAGAGAAAGAGTGGACCCAAAAATGAGAGTGAGATTTGGAAGGCAAAGTCTCGACCCCTGTGATTTCCACCCCTTAGGACGTGCCCGTAACTATGTTCCTCTTCCACAGCAAAAAGGACTTTGCAAATGTAATTAAGGTTATTAATCTGTTGACTTTAAAACAAGGAGATTATCCTGGATCACCTGGTGAGCCCACTGTAAACACGTGGTGTGACCAAGGGGTGTGAAGAACCAGGCAAAGGAGAAGTGATGCTTTAGATGAAGGAGAGTCAGAGAGCTGAAGCCTAGGAGGGGCCGGCCCCAGCGGTCTCTGAGGGGGACAGGGGGCAGGCGGCCTCTAGAAACAGAATGACCCCCAGTGAACAGCCAGCAAGAACATGGGATTCTCAGTCCTACAGCCGCATCAGCCTGAGTCCTGTCAACAACCTGACTGACCCTGGAAACGGATTCTTCCTTAGAGCCTCTGAGGAAAACCAGCCCTGCCCACACCTTGGTCCCAGCCATATGGAATTCTAAGCCGAGGATTAAGTCATGCTAGAGCTTGACCGTGACCCAAAGAACTGTAAGATAGTAAGTTTGTGTTCTTTTAGGCAACTCTATCTGTGGTGACAGCTAACTCCCACAGCAATAGGGGACAGTCTATTTAATACTGCACTTCACTACAGGAACAGAAGAGTGTGCTGTCGACTGAGCAAACCCAGCCAGCCGCCCAAACCCTCACCTCTGCTTTCAGCTGGTCCTGAAAGTGCAGAAAAACAAGACACTGCAAAATACACAGAAAAGAGCAGAAGTAGCTAATCAAAGCTGCTCTTTGAAGAAAGAGGAAATGAAAATCAAAGCATTTCAGAAGAAAATCCCCCCCAAAGCATGAGCACATAGAACCAAAATATAACCCAACATCCCAATGTGCATAACATTTCCTCCAGTTCACACATATGAACATTTCAAATCAGCAATCCAGAAACCTTAAAGTGGAAACGGACAGAAACGAAGAAGGTATAAAATGGGACGTTTAACCGAACTCCGGAAAGAATTTTTCAAAACTTAGGTGCATAGATGAGATTACAAGATATCCCAGGAAAAACAAATGTGGCTGAAAATATAAAAAGGGTATTAAGAAAAAGCACGAAAATAACCAAGAAAATGTAAACACTACAGAGGTTCAAAGAGGGGAAAAGCATCAGCTTCTGCTTTGGTGAGATCTTTGGGTGAAAGGTGTCAGCTGGGGATGAGAGGTGCCTCGGTTGGCCGAGGGGGAGGAGTCAGGGGCCAGAGCCTCTCGGGGGTGTGCCGAGGGAAGCAGATGGCAGCTCCTCCCCTGTTGTCCTCACTCCCCATGCTCAGTCATATTTACTTCCCTTCTTCTCCTGGAGCCACTAAGCTCATATTGGGTACTGGTCCCTCCCCCAGCCTGGAACGCTCTGCCTTGCGGTACAACCTAGCCCCACCTTTCCTAAGGTTCAGGTTCCACCTCAGAAGCCACCAGCTCCAGAAAACGTCCCTGCCCCCCACCCAAGGTGGCCCCCGGGAACTTCTAGGGTTCTGCTAATGCTCAGTTCCCCAGTGCGGGTGCTGGTTCTATGGGTGCGTTCACTTTGCAGAAATGAGCTAAGTTGCGTACTTGTGATTTGCACGTGTGTACCTCAATCCAAGAAAAAATCAAAATAAAGCCACCTGATGTGGAAAACAAAGGCAGAAGAAAAATGATTAAATTTCCTTACTGCCTACAGCCCATGGACATGTCCTTGAAACAGGCAGAGGGACATTCCTCTAGGAGCTCAGCTGCCTCGATGTTGACACTTTGTTTAAGGGCGAGAGGCGATCCTAGCCTGATCCCCACCCCCGACCCCCGCCAGGATCCTGGAAGCCTACTTTAACATATAAAAATTCCTTTGGAAACTTCCTTTATCTCTACTCGCCAGGATATGTGCTGGCAACCGTCCCCCAAGCCTATGGCCCACCGATACACACCTGAAGGGTCCGTGACTTGGGTGTTACTAGATGGTCATGAATGACCTTTCCCCAACAATAGCTAGCCCCCTCAAGGTCCTGGAACCTTGCTTCCAAAATTCCTCGGAGGCTCACGCTATCCCAGTGGGCCATTCCTCCTGGCCCCGGTGCAGCTCTTTCTGCCCACAGGTCCTGTCCCCGTGCTTTGATAAGGCCACCTTTCTGCACCAAAGACGTATCAAGAATTCTTTCTTGGCCGTTGGCTTTGAACCCTGACATCTTTCCGACATCACCACCCTCCCCCAGAGTTCCCTTCACAGCACGATCACAGTCCGGCCCTAGCCCACTTGTTTCTCGGCCGTCCCATTTGTTGCACACACTCGCCCAGCACAGCAGACACACGTCAGTCACCGGGACGGTCTCCAGGGCGGGCGACGCATACAGCAGGCACCTGATAAATGACCATGTGCAGAGTTACGGGTGGCGGCTGGGGCCAGCGGGGCGTGCGCCGGGGCCTCACCTTCCGCTGCATCCTCTCCAGCAGCTTGCTTTTGGCCCGCACCTCCTCCTGGATGGAGTCGTAGACGTTGAGCAGCACCCAGTCGCCGCCGTCCTCGTCCGAGTTCTGCAGGGCCGCCACCAGCTGCTTCTTGCGCTCGTCCGCGTACCGCTTCCTGCGTTTGTGCTTCTCCTTCAGGTCCTTGTTCTTGGCCTGCTCTCCCCCTACCACCTGCTGCTCCAGCAGCTGCAAACTGCCGGTGGGGAGAGGCACATGTCAGTGGGGCGGGGCTGTCACCAGGTGTTCACTGTCCAGCCAACATCATGGGGTCCACACAGCCACTCCTCATGGACATGGGCTTGGGCTCAGAGAGGCAAAGCCTCTGACTGGGGTCAGACCCCGGGGTTCCAAGCAGAGCCACCCAGTCATGTGTGCCCAAGAGGACGGGCAAGCATCTCCCTGCGGGCCAGAGCTGACCCAGGCTACCACCTGCCCCGGGCCTCCCAGAGCCGAGGGTCCCCACAACGCACAGGCTGGCGGCCGTGCTCCCCGGTACCCCGTGGGACCAGAGCAGCCCAGGCTGAGCAGTGTTCATCGTCTCCCTCTGCAGCCCCCCACCCAGCTTGCTCCAGGTTTCCCCACTGTGCATTCTCCAAACAGCCAGGCTGCTCCCCCGTGCCGCACTTTTGGGGCACCCTGTAACTCGATGCCTTCCTGAGGCTTCTGGCCTTCAAACCCCATTCAGGGTGAGCTAAGCAAAGCTACTCTAAGAAACGGAAAACAAAAGCTTCTGTGAAGGCTTCCCGGACCATACTCGGGACCACACCCAGACCACGGCCAAGAGCGTGGGGAGTTTTCTCCGGGTCTGACGCTTGGCAGGCGTGGTCTCCTTTGACCCTCATGATGAGCTTCTCAAACTGGAGCTCTTATTATCACCCATTTTGTAGATGAGAAGCTAAGGCACACTAGGTTTAACGTTGGCTCTGGTGGTAGAGGTAGTGGTGAAGGTGGACGGGACCCCAGACAGTGGACTGCACAACCCACTGGCTTCTTACACTACAGAATCTGGCCCTCCCTGGGCCTGGGTAGCTGGTACCTCTGGACCATGGGCTCCCTGCAAGCCAACATGGCAGCTCATTCATCCTGTGTCCTGGTTCCCAGCCCGCAGCTCCTGCTTGGTTCACGTTTGAACCGTGGACTATAGGACTGGGTTTGCCACTGCTAAGAGGAAGCTGAACCCTGGCCATGGGGCTGACCATCACGGAAGTGACCCTGATTCTCATTTACAGAAGTGAGAACCAAGGTTCAGAAATGTTAAGTGGCTGGCATAGAGTGAAGACAGCCCAGCGCCCCAGGTGGGCAGCCTCTGAGGGTGATCAGGGTGGCTTGTCCCCAGGGTGAGCAGGTCTCACAACAGGAGGGCACACTGGGAGCTAAGAAAAGCCTGCATCACGCCACCCTGGGATTCCTGAGAATGCCAGGCAGGCGACAGTCCCTTCCCTTTCTCCTGGAGCACCTGTGCCCCAGCAGGTGCCTGAGGGAGTCTGGTGGTACCTGTAAGGTTCCCCTGGGCAGAGCACTGCCCTCCCGGCTGATGGCACCATCCCTGCCCCTTGCTCCCAGAGAGAGGATTGGGGCCTCTCCAGCCTCATCAGGCAGGGGAGTGGAGTGGAGGCTCAGCTCTCCAGGAGCTCCCATCCCCAGGCCTGGCCACAGCACCTCCCTGTCCTGCCACGGGGCCCTACCAGCCCCACGCCCCAGCACTTACCGGGCAAGCACCTGCTGCTGGTCCACGACAGGCAGCAGGTCGTCAGTCAACACCGCCACCTCCACGCCCACACTGGTCGTGGCCAGCAAGGGCTGAGGCTGAGCCTCCAAGGCCATCTGGGCCTCAGTCTCAGCCCCGACGCCAGGTTCTGCTGCCGGCACCACCTCCTCGGCCACTTCTGGGCCCGGGTCAATCTCCTGAGCACAAAGAGAAAGCAAGATGGAGGCAGAGAGGCTGACCCCTGGACGCACACTGCCGCAGCCTCAGTCCCAGATGGCAGCAGCAGGGTCCCTCGTGGCCCAGGATGGGTCACTTCGGGCTCAGAGCCACCCAGTACCTGGTCAGGTTCCCACCCCACCATTTCCTCCAACACCTGGAAACAGATTCCTTCCTGCCCTCCTGCCCCTGGGGACCCAGCCTCCCCATGGCAGCTGGGGCAATTTTCTCCAAATACAAATCCATGACAGCCCTTTCCCGGGGAGAACCCTGCACAGATTCCCAGCACCCTGGCAGTAAAATCCAGCTTCTTCCATGGCCTTTGTGCCCTCCGTGCCTCTCTCTGCCTTCCCCCTCCCCCACCGCATCCACCCAGCTGCTTCTCTGGCCTCGTTTTTCTATTGCTGAGAAAGTCGAGCTCTTCCTGGCCACAGGACTTTGGCACATGCCAACCCTGGCCTGATGCTCTGCCCTGGCCCCTTCTTCCTGCTTGTGTCCCCTCTCAATGTCACCTTACAGCCAGGGCACCCCGGGCCACCCCTTCTCCCATCTACTGAGAACCTCAAGTATGCCAGCTCCTACCCAGTGATCCAGTCCAGAGGCTGGGAGATAATTTTCTCTCTTCACACATGTGGGTAGATTTAAAGCCTTGCTCTCATTCTCCATGGCCTCTTGTGCTTTCTTAAGCAGAAGAGAGAAGGGAGGGCTCTGAGAGCAGCAGTGTTTAACACACGGGACCCAGGCGGTTCCCGGCCAGTGCCTCGGGACCCCTGCCCCCGCCCAGCAGCCCTCGCCCTCAGCACACACCAGGGCCTCCTCGCTCTAGACAGGCTGCCAAGGCCAAGCGAAGTCTAAGAGTTGCCGAGCAGTGGCCTCTTAGTCACAGCAGTAATAAGACGTAGGCCTGCTTTGTGACGGGCCAGGTCCGATAAGCTGGGGGTGGGCTGGGCTCATAGCCCCTGTCTTGGGGATGAGGACACTGAGGTCCAGAGTGCCACAGGAAGACCCAGGCTCCTGGGACTCCTCCTCCGACCTGAGGGTCTGGACCCGGGGGGGAACTCACAGTCCCGGGCAGGAGGAAGTCAGCTGCCTCAGCTTCAGACCTAAGGACACCAGGCCCCAGCAGATCCGTCAGGGAAGGGTGCTGGCAGGAGGATGGGGTCGGGGAGGGAGAGGGACAGTAGGCCAGAATCATCTTCCACTCCCTGACCTCCCCTTCAGAGCCCCACGCCCCAGCCCGGCACCTCACCAAGCCACCACCTCCTGCTGCTTGTCACCACTGAGGGGACCACTGGGGAGCAGGGGCGACAAGAGGAGAGAACAGGGAAGAGAGAACATGGAAGGGAGCGAGCTCCGGGAGCATCGACTGTGGTACCTGAGGTAAAGCACGCGTCGGCACCCCCATTTTAGAGAAGAGGAAACCGACCCCAGAAAGCTGACTGCTCAAGGTCACACAACTCTGTGGGTGGTCGAGCTGGGGTTTAACCCTGGTCTGTCCGGCTCAAAGGCCTGTGCTCTTCACACACACACACAGGAAAGGAAAGGAAAAGGAACACAAGGGAGAGGAGGGGAAGGGAATTTAAACCAAAAGAGAGAGTGGAAAGGGGAGAAGCACCCAGCAAAGCGGCAGGATGGCAGGGCAAGCCCCGCCGGACCCGGGGTGGGGGTGGAGTGGGGGGCGGTCCCTGAAAGGTGGCAGCCTTCCCGCAGCCTCCAGCCTCCTCCAGCTCCTTCCTTCGGGGCCTAGAAGCTAGTGTAACCACGACAACTCAGCAAACCCCCCGAGTGGGTGTCCCTCCATTAGCAGAACAGGTGCCCACCCAGCAAAGCCTCCTGTCTCCATCCCTACTTCCCCACAGATGAGCTGACACAAGGCTTCTGCGGCCGCCAAGCCGGAGCTCCCGCGCACGGACTGGACCGGACCATCAGCACCTGCCCCAGCGACCTGCGTGCCCACCGCCCCTCACCCCCGCCGAGCTCTGCCTGCTGCCTTTCTGCACACCTCGCGTGACATCAGCTACCTGTGTGGGGAGCCTGGGGGTGGCCGCCTGGGGCGCCTCGGCCCCCCCCACCGCGGAGGAGAGCCTGGCCAGCTTGGCTTCCACCTCGGCGAACGGGTCGTGCAGGCTGGGGAGCAGGCCCAGCGCCGCCAGCCGTGGCTGCTCGTCCTCGGGGACCGGCCCGGCCCACCGCGGGGCTCCGGCGGCCTCCCAGCTGAGGTCGTGGTCCGGGAGGGAGCTGCCCACGGCCTCCGCCTCGGGCGTGGAGAACTCCACGTTGGAAGGCTCCCGGGGCGCTGGGCAGGCCTCGGACACGGAGGTGTCCTCGAGCGTGGAAGACTCATCGGATCCCAGAGATGCCTCAGACTTGGAGGTCTGCGCCGTGGGCAGCTCCTCGAACCCAGGAGAAACCTCAGTCTTGGAGACATCCTCGCCGGCCAGAGTGCGCGGCGTGGAGTGGATCTCAGGCTTCGTGGCCAGCTCGCAGTGGAGGGCAGGGGAGGACTCCGGCCAGCTGACAAACTCCGCCCTGGACGTGCCCTGCGCCTTGAGGACCTCCGCCTTGAGGACAGCCTCTGCAAATGGAAATTCCTTTCAGCGTCAGACAGAGGACGATGGTGACCCCCTGGGGGCCGGCCCCAAGCACTTGGTCTCTGAAGGGCAGGCTTAAGAGCCAGAGCCTCCCAGACCCCCAGATACTAGCCTCCCATCTCTGCCCTTTCCTCTGTCAGAACTCAGACCCCTCTCCTGCCTCCTCTTCCAGGAAGTCTTCCCTGACCAGCACCAGGAGCTCTCTATTCTCTGACCTCCCTGGCCTTCAGCTGCCTTCGGGCTGCTCTTCACACAGAAGGTGACTGCCCTGTGGGTCTTGTGGCCTCTGAGGTCGAGAGCTCCCGCTCAGCAAGCAGACTTCACACCCGAGACCTGGAGCGGGGACCTCTACAGGGCACCCCTGCTCAGGGCTCTTGTCCACAGGAAATGCTAGCTCCATGGAGATGAAGGAACACTGCGGATGATCATTAGACCAAATAAAACCACCTGGAGGCCTAACATTCAAACTGGACTAGAGGAACACTCTGAAGGACAGAACATGCTAGAACCTGCCCTTCCCTCTCCTCTGGGTCTGCCAGCGTGGATGAGACTACAGTCCCACAGGCCTCCTCAGGGCTCCCAGCTCATGGGCACTAGAACCACTCACTTCTTTGTCTCTGTGTCATGGGCTGGAGACACATTCCCTTTGCTGAAAGAGGACATCCTCTCCCTAGCTCAGCGGCCAGAAGCTCTCCAAGCCTCAGTGTGCACCTTGGCAACGTGAGGACTCAGCGCGTCCTCACTCACTGAGGGAGTACCCAGCACCCAGCACAGCCCATGCAGCAATGTCCAATAAATGGTACCCACGATGTGACCAATACCATCGTCATGACAAGGGGGGTTTTATAGTATTTGGATGAGTACTAGGAAGTCTGAGCTGCCTGGCAGCACAGGTGTTTGGAGGATAGTGGTAGGGTAGAACATTCTAGAATGTCAAAAAGACAACAAAAATCTTCAGCAAGGAAGAACTTCTTGCTAGTAATTGAATCCTTATTTTGGAATGTGGTTGCTTTGTTCACAGAGCGGCTCAAAAATGAGAGGAGACCAGAAAATGCAGAAGCAGGAGGAAGGAACTTACCCATGAAATATGGGTGATATGTTGTAATGCTAAGTCAGCCTTGGGCCCCAGCCTGGGGCCAAGGCTTCACAGATGCAATGCTGGGTGGGTGAGAACACTGCCTGGGTTCCAATCCTGACTCACTTCACCAGCTGTGTGACCATGGACAAATCACTCACCCTCTCTGTGCCACAGTTTCCTTACCTATAAAATGAGCCTCATGGCGGTACCTACCTGGCTAGGCTGTCGTAAGGAGTAACTAGAACTGAGCCTGGTGCATAGGAAGTGCTCTATGAATGTCAGTTAGTAAAATGGGGAGGGGGAACCAGCTGGCCACCCTCCTGACAGCCCGGGTCGGGTGCCCACCTGTCTCCTTACGCAGGTTCTCCTCCAGTGTGGACAGCTTCACGTCGTAGGAGTTGCGCATGGCAGTGATGTCCTCCTCCAGCCGGGCCCTGGACTCCTGCTCCGCCTCATAGTCAGCCCTCAGCCGGGCCAGGCGCTCCTCGTACTCCTGGGAGCGGGAGTCGGGGGCGGGGTGGTGGGGAGAGAAGACAAGGGCAGGGTTGGGGGGGGCAGGCAGCATCAGACCACAGTTCACCTTCTCTGTCATTCAAATAACCCAGGAAATACCAATAAGCCAAAAGACCTAAGTTAAAATTACCTACACAACACGGGGACGAAACTGGCAGCTGCAGGCCCTTTTAAAGTTTATCCGCATTTTTTAAAAGATTTTATTTATTCATTTTATTTTTTATTAAATATTTTATTTATTTGACAGAGAGAGACACACAGCGAGAGAGGGAACACAAGCAGGGGGAGTGGGAGAGGGAGAAGCAGGTTTCCTGCTGAGCAGGCAGCCCGACATGGGGCTCCATCCCAGGACCCTGGGATCATGACCTGAGCTGAAGGCAGATGTTTAATGACTGAGTCACCCGGGTGCCCCTTTATTTATTCATTTTAGGGAGAGAGAGAGAGAGGGGAGGAGAGGGAGAGGGAGATCATCTCCAGCAGACTCCCCGCTGAGCACAGAGCCCTACATGAGACTCGATCTCGTGACTCTGAGATCACGACCAGAGCTGAAATCAAGAGTCGGACGCCCAACCAACTGAGCCACCCAGGCGCTCCTAGACTGTGTTTCGGTGGCTTCCTACGTTACAGGGCAAAATCTAAGCCTCTCGACTTGACCGAGTCCCCAGAGATCTGGACAGCCCACCCCATGACATATACCCCACACTGGGCACATGGGCCACTTTCCACTCTCCGACAGGCCCATGTTCCCCTGCCTCGGAGTCTTCTGTCCTCATCCCCCAGCAAGCTCTTCCTTCAAGCCTCAGCTCAGTAACACCCCCTCCAAGCAGCCCTCCCTGACCACCCTCTCAGACAGCACCATCCCCTCCTGCAGCCTCAGCACCTAGCACAGAGGGAGGGAGGGGCTCGGGGCAAACTCCTGAGTCCATGAGTGCCTGGAGCCCACCGCTGGCCTGGCCGAAAGGATAACCGGACAGCTCTGGCTTCCAAGCACACCTCCCATGGGCACGGCCGGGGTTCAGGCTGATGACAGTACATGACCTCCCGTGTTGTGGAGCTGCCCCTGAGAAGGCCAGATGGACAGGCCAGGGGAGGGGAGGGACAGCCCCTGTGCACACACCCACCTCACCAGGACCCTTTCAGGCCAGAGCCCAGAGTTCTACGATGGCACAGACTCTATGACCCGGGCTCTCGGGGAGGGACAGAGGATCATTAATATGTGACTGAGCGTTCTGTGGCACACCTGAGATGCATCTGAGTCCCAGGGCCTTACGTAGGGCTGCTGGGGGCCAGGGAGGTGACTTGCCCAGAACCACACAGCTCTCCAGTGGCCACAAGGAGACCTCCTACACCCCATCTGCTTTCTCACTGCCCCCCCACCCCCTCCCCTGGCTTCCTCTCCTCCCCAGCAGGGACTCGGGCCCTACCCTACACTCATCCTTCAGCAAGCTCTACCCAGCCCCCTCCACAGTTCCCTCCCTGCACGGCCCTGGCCCCAGGGTGACCCTGGCTCAGCCTTGTCACACCTACACAACCAGCAAGACCTGGCTGGAGATGCAGGTGTGTGCATGTACACACTCACGTGCACAGTGTGCACACACGCACGCACACACATACAGCAGCAACTTCCAGTCCCAGTGGTACATGTGTGACCCTGAACCACAGAGGGCCTCTTACGCTGCCATGCGCCCCTCCTGGGTCCTTCTGCTCTCCCTCCCTCTGCAACCCTCCACCTCTCCATTTCCCATCTCCTGCTTCCCAGAGAACACTGAAGCATTCCCTCGCCATCCCAGCCCACACCTTCCCGTCTACCTGCAGATCTACCCGAAAGCTCTTCTTCGTCCTGCGACAGTGGACAAACCATGTGAAGCCAAGCCACCCGCTTAGTGACTTTGCTCTTTCCATCCCTGTCTCCCTCCCGCAGCGCAGACTTCTTTCGAGATCACCCCCAGCAGTTACAGAATGTGCTTGGATACTCAACACAGAACAACTCTCCCATGGCCCCTCGTGGACCCCAGCTACAGGGCTCAGTGCCAGCAGGGGCTTGGAAAATGCCTGCCAACCCAGCCCCCCGAGTCCCGCTTGGTGCTAGTTCCACGGTCCCATGGTGAGAAGACGCCCAAACAGTCCCCGAGAGCTTAAACAGCCTGTCCTGGGGCACGGAGCCCACCAAGAACTGGGCTTGCAGAATGGAAAAGCTGGATGGACCCAGGAATCTTCTGGTCCAAATCTCCCCTTCCCTGGTGCAGCCGGGAGACTGAAGCCCATGGAGTCACATCTCCCACTCGTGGCAGAGCCCATCCCTGGCCCCGTACCCTCGCCGCCCCACACAGGGGCCACCCCCTCACCCTGAGAGTCCTGACTGGTTCCAGGTGGGAAAGGAAAGCACGGTTCCAGGCACATAGTAGGTGCTCAATAAATATGAGGGGATCATACGTGAAATGGGAAGGAAGGCGAGAGGGAAAACAGACACCTTTGACTCTTCCTCCAAGTGTGGCTCACAGAAGAAACAGCAGGGCCTGAGAGGACACTTGGTGGTGGCCACGGGCAGGGGTGGGGGAGGGGAGATGCTTGGATGCAGCAGCCACGGGGCTATCCCGTGAAGACAAGGCCAGCGACCGCCACCCCCGGCGGAAGGACCTGCCAGTCACTGGCTCCCTGAAGCCGCCAGCCCGGAGCAGAGTCTCCTCTCTGGTGATGCAGGGGGATTGGCGGCGCCCTGCTCCTCAGCCAGGGTGCCTGCCCCACCCAACCAGGCTCCCTCAGGGGGAACAGCTGTCATGGGTAGCCTTTAGGGACTCTGGTCAATTTCTCCCAGCCCTTCAGCCCACAGGACTCAGACTCCCAAGACTTACCTAGTCTGCCCCTCAGAGGCTGGACCCCAGACCCTCAGAGCCTCACCAGGGCTCCCCCGGGCCCCAGGGCTTACTGAGTTTATAATTGAGGGGCAGAGGCCCAGCTGCGGACACATCCAGGGACGCAGTCCCTGCAGAGCTGTCCTAGTCTGGCATCCTTCTCTGCCAGGAAAATGCCAGTGTCCCACTCCATGCTCAGGTCTCTGAATGGGGCCCTCAAATGGCAGGGATTTCCAGAAACCAGCAGGGCCTGGAGTCAGGACGGAGCCTAAGCCGGGAGTTAGGGGCTCTGCTGAGTCTGGGTGTGTAAGCCCCCCACTAGGGATCAGCTCGGTATCTGTAAACCAGGGCACTGTTACCTGGCCTGCTGGTTCCCAGAAATACTGGAAGGCACACATGGGGAGAATGAGGGGCCCCCAGGAGACAGCTTTTTCTGGGAGGCCAACACCCCATTTACCCACTGGTCAAATGAGTGCTGGGCCTCCCCACTGTCCAGCCAGGGCACCCGGCTCTCAGCCTCTGACTTGTGGGCACCTGACGAAGTGACCAATTCCTTTCGCTCCGTCCCCTCTGCCCAGCTCAAGCTGTTCCCACCACCAGGAAGGCCTCCATTTCCAGCAACCCACAGCTACCCCACTTCCTACAGTATGGAAAAGAGACAGCACTCCTGCAGACACCCCACAGCCCTCCCTGTGCTCCCCATGTTAGGCCCTGATGAGGGATGGATTGCATTCTGGAGTCAGGACCTGAGTTCAAATCCCACTCAGACTCTCCTTAGCTGGGTGACCTTGGGCGAGTCACGGCACCTAGCTCCAAAAGGGAGACTGAGGTACCAAGCCCACGATTCTGGTGGGGGTAAAATGATATCATTCGGCAGATGCTCTCCTGCTGGGCCTCACCTGCCTGCCTTTCTCCCACCTACCCCCGGGTCTCACCTCCCGGATCAGCTGCTTCTCAGCCTCTGTATCAGGCTGGATCACCGGTGGGGGCGCCAGCTTCTCCTCAGTCTGGACAGCATTTAGGGGAGCCTGACTGGACAGCAGGTCTGGGAGAGAGACAGAAGGGAGGGCTGTGACCAAGCTGCACAGAGTCTGCGAGAACCAAGCCAAAATCTGGAAAGAGACAACCACAGACTTATGCAAAATACACTTCACAGCATTGAGTTTCTTCCAAGCCCATCTCTATGTAAAATACTAATTTACTCAGTCATTCAACGAATATTTCTTGAGCACCTGCATGTTCTAGGCACTGGCGACCCAGCATTAAACAAAACAGACAACACTCCACACCCACACTGAGTTTTCAAACAGAGGAAGAAGGTACACACAGTAAATAAGCAAAATACTAACATGTTATAAGCAGATGTGTTCTAGCAAGAGAGAGAAAGCGGGGAGGGTGCTCAGGAGTAAGAACAAAGGGGGGGGCAATTTAAACAGTGTGTTCCGGGAGGACTTCTTAGATAAGGTAAGGCAAAGGCAGTGACCTGAAGGAGGTGGGAGAGAGAAGCAGGCAGAGATCTTAGGGAAGACAGAAGAGAGCAGTGAATGCAAAGGTCCTGTGGCAGGAGTGGGCCTGGACTATTCCAGGAACAGCCATGGAGCCAGTGTGGCTGGAACGGAGTAAGAGAGGGAGAGAACAGGTGACGAGGAGCTCAGAGAGGGCGTGGGGGATCACAGGGACACTGAAAGCTGTGCTGATGACTTTGGGTTTGACTCGGTTAAATAGGCCAAGGAGGGGCGTTGTGCAGGGCAGTAAAAGGATGTGCATTTGGACAGGACCTCCCTGGCTGCTGTGCGGGGAATGGACTGAGGGGGATAAGGACAGACTCCTGGATACCTGTCGGGGTGGTGCTCCCTAGTAATTCAGGTAGGAGATGCTAGCGACTCAGGGGACAGCGGTGGACAGATTCTGGACATCTCTTAAAGGTAGAAACAAGATCTGCTGCTGGATTGGATACAGGTTTGTGTGAAAATGAGAAGCCAAGGGCCACTCCAGGGTTTCAGGCTTGAATACTAAGAAGGAAAAGGGTTGCCATCCCCTGCACGGGGACCAGCAGGCTTGGGGGGATTAAGAGCTCAGTGTCAGACATGCTAAGTTCCAAATGATCACTCAACAGCTGGATGTTCAAGTCTGGAATTCAGAGGACACTGCGTCGCAACTGTTTTTTAAATTGTCTCTATTTTGTGATGTTTGATATAGCGGGGGACTTGCTGGCCAGGGAAAGACCGACCCTGGCCAGGCCGGCTAATACCTAGAGAAAGCAAACGAACCATTAGCCCACCTTTCACCTGCCAACCAAGCGATGTGGAGTCCGTACCCCTCCCGCCCCTCCATCTGACTCCTTCCTGTCTCCTGACCGATGCTGGAGCTCCCCCCGGGTTCCCCCCCAGGACATGTGGCCCCATGTGCTGTCCCATCCTCTTGTTTCTAGTGTAACGCTGACCTCTCCAAGGGCCCCCTCGGGCCCCTTTATGAATGAAGACCTAGACACAAACCACACGACCAGGCTGGGGGGCCACACGGGAGCCAGAGCCCAGAGATGGTGTTTAAAGCCACAAGGTGAGGCCACCTCGGAGGGATTGTGGAAAGAGGGGTGGTCCTGCGGGGAAAGAGCAGGAAGGCAGACTGCCGGTGAGATCTCACCTCGGCGCTCAAAGCCCTCTTCAGCCCAGCACGTCCAGCCCTCACTGGCCATCTCCCAGAGCCCGGCTCGGCAGGCTGCCAGCACGACTGCTTGTTCCCCAAATGTCCCTTACAGTTTTGTGCATCTTTGCACAGTCTGGCCACTCTCATCTTGGCTAACAGGGAGACCTCTCTGCCTCCAAGACTCTGCTAAATCACCTCCTCCTCTGTGAAGCCTTCCCTGACTGACCACACCCTACCCCCAAACAGACTTGGTCACTTACCCCCTTCTGCCCTCTAGTGGCCAGTTCGGCTCTCTGACCTATGCGTACTGTCTGCTGGAGGGTCCTTCTCCGCCAGACTAGATGCCCACGAGGCAGAGCCTGGATCGGATTCATCTCTGGGCTGTCAGTGCCCAGCACAGATCCACACACGGGGGCTGCTCAGTGAGCTTTGGGTGTGTGGATGGGCGGGTAGGTGGACGGGTGGATGGACGGGTGGATGGATGGATGGATGGGTAGACAGGTGATAGATGAATGGGTATGTAGAACGGACGGACAGAGAGGAAGCTGGGTAGGGAGGTAGATGAGTGAATAGATAGACTCAGGCTCTTTTGTGCTCCCTTCCCCAGGGAGTTCTCGGGTAAAGAAAACCCCAGAATGTGCAAGGACCCCAGAGAGCCTGAGCTGCACATAGAGATCTCTCCTTGCCGGATGACAGCCAAACACCTGGGTGTGAGAGCTGCAATCACAAGGTGCCTAACTGGGGGTGGGACACGGGGGAGTGAGTCACCCGCTGCTCAGCGGCACGGTGTCACGACGCTGCCACAGAGACAGCAGGCACACAGGTGGGATGGTGGCTGCGCGGCCAGGAGGCGGCCAGCCCGGCGGCTGATGGGACAGACCAAAGAGACCCCGTCCCGAGTCCCCGGGGGAGCAGAGCGCCTCCGACCATCACCGAGCCGGCTCTTTGCTTCTGAGTCTCTCGGATGGGCAGCCAGAGGCAGAAGACTAAACAGGGGCAGTGGGGAAAGACTCTGTCCCCAGCCCTGGGCCTTCCTGCCCCCCCCTCCCCCAGCCACCCACCTGCCAGGTTGCCGGGGCTCATCTGCTGGGCCAGGATCTCCTTCAGCTTCTTGATCTCCTCCTGGTACTCGCGCAGGAGGGCGTCCTTGGGGTCCTCGTTGATGCGTGGCTTGTTCTTGATGTTCTTGGCCCGGCTGGCGTAGCGCAGGGTGCTGAGTGTCTCGTCATAGTTGTTGTCCGCGGGTGACAGGCAGGCCACCATCAGCGTCTTCGTGTTGCCACCCAGCGAGTCCTGCAGCAGCCGCGTCAGCTTCGAGTCCCGGTAGGGAATGTGTTTACAGCGCCCATCCACCAGGGCCGAGATGACGTTGCCCAGGGCCGACAGTGACAGGTTGATCTTGGTGGCCTCCTTGAGCCGCTCCCCCGTGGCACCCGTCTTGGACTGCCGCTCACTGCCCGCCAGGTCCACCAGGTTCAGCTTGCCGGCACAGAGGTGGTCCTGGCCCCGCTCGTCTGTGGACAGACAGCAGAGGGTGAGGGGCACACAGTGCTCCCACCACCAGCCACATAGGAGTCCATGAGAGGGGCACTGCTGTCACCATCCCCATCTTACAGAAGAGGAAACTGAGGCTCAGAAAGGCATCTAACTGGCCCAAGGTCACACCCCCACTAAGTGGCAGACCCAAGGTCAGAACACAGGGCTGCTTGACTCGGGGAGCAGAAGCTAGAAGGTCCAGACTATTCTCTGAGCGTGGTGGGGATTTTTTTCAGTGATCACAATGGCTCCCCCAGATTCCCTGTGAGGCCAAGAGTAGGAGGATGTGACTGGGTCACCCAGGGCCTTGTATCCTTCACTGCAAAAGACATTGACTTTGGAGGCTCTTGGATCTGGTTCCCGACCCAGCCCCGCCTCCTCCTTGCTGTGTGACCTTAGCAGAGCCCTGCACCTCTCTGGTCCTCCATTCTCACAGCCACAAAATGAGACTAACAGCAGCTCCCCACTTGGGCTGGTTGTTGGGAGGAGTAAAATAAATGGAGGGCACATTTTACAGAGTTGACTCAGGGCCCAGCACACAGCAGGGGCTCGTACCCCTGAGAACAAGCCTGGATCTGTGGTGACCAAGGTCCTGTAGACAAGGCAGACCCCGGTGGTGAGGGTGACAGGAGTCAGGCCCTGGCTGGTAATGTGGGCTCAGAGCACAGATTTTGAAGGCGCAGATCTTGGGCATCCAATCCTGATTCCATATCTTAGTTGCTATGAAACTTGGGGAAAACAGACCCGAACGAATATGGGGCACCTGAGTGGCTCAGTGGGTTGAGCCTCTGCCTTCCACTCGGGTCATGATCCCAGGGTCCTGGGATCGAGCCCCAAGTCGGGCTCTCTGCTCGGCAGGGAGCCTTCTTCCTCCTCTCTCTCTCTCTCTCTCTCTCTCTGCCTACTTGTGATCTCTGTCTGTCAAATGGATAAATAAAAACTTAAAAAAAAAAAAAAGATATTCATGTTAGCATTGTTTACAACACTCCCGAACGGGAAACAACCTCACTGCCCTCTAAAGATTGGTTAGAAAATCGCATGAGAGACGCGCCCTCCTTCAGCCGGCACCCAGGGTCTCAAAGACCAGGCAGGAATGATGCTCGGGGCTGGCGTGGGGAATGGGACGCAAGGGAGAAACTAAATACAGCGTCAGAGTTCGATTGTTTTTGTAAATTTCACAGGATAATAGGGACCAAAAAACCCCAATACACTCAAATGCTAATAAGTGTGTTTATGAGTAATTTTACCTACCTTTCTCTAATTCCTAAATAGCATTATTGAGCTTATTTTATAATGAGAATGATAAACATCTTTTAAATTTATCTACAGGGCGCCTGGGTGGCTCGTTTGGTTAAGTGCCCAACTCTTGACTTTGGATCAGATTGTGATCTTGGGGTCATGAGATGAAGTCCTGCTTGACATTCTCCCTCTCCTTCTGCCCCCTCCCTGCTCACACACACACTCACTAAAAAAAATTTAAAAAATAGAAAAATAAATTTGTTTAAAAGCCTGTCTCCAGGCAGCCTCCTCCATCCTTCAAACCCTTCTGCAAAGACCAAGGTGCACCCCCAAAGACACCCTGTCCAGATCCTTCCTCACCTGCCCTAGGCCCTGCCCCCCAATCACAGCCTCATGGCAGGATACCGTGACCTCACTGACCCTGCCCAACCCATATCAGCACCCTGGGGAGACTCAGACCCAGCAAGCACCAGGCAGTTGGCCTGGGGCCAGGTCACCCCACATGCTGGGGGATGTCATGGGAGGTACCCCAGCTTTGACCTTGGGTCTGGGATCTCTCCAGAATTTTGTTTCTGGTTGGGTGGAGGCTGCTTCCTGCTGCAGTGCTTGAGAGAGTTCTATCCATGATGGACTTGGAGGCAGCTGCCATGTTATTGGGAAAAGCCCAGATGTCAGAGAGAATCAGGTTCGAATCCCAGCTCCCCCACTTATCAGTGGGACCCCACACAAGCAAGCCACTGCACCTCTCAGAGCCTCAGTTTTCCCGTCTGTAAAATGGCAATGAGAACACCTGCCTCTAGGACTCCTGTGGGCTGTAAACGAAAGGAAGCCTGGGAAGTGCTTAGCACAGCCGCTACCAGCGGCAAGAAATATGAGTTTCTTCCCTTCCTCAGGGACTCTCCTAGACAGGCGGACGCGGGGGATGACTGAAGGGTGGGGAGCACCGCAGAGAAAGAGGAGACACCAAAAAGTCCAGGCAGGACACGCTGGAGACAGAGCCTGGGGTCAAGGCCCAGCTCTGACGCTTTCTAGTTGCGGGACCTCAGTTTCCTCATTTGTGAAACGGGGGCGACGCTGGTAGCCACCTCCTGGGCTGTGGTAAGGAATAGAAACAAGCTAACGCACAGAAACTGCGTGGCACATAGTAGGTGCTCAGGGTGAGCGGCCAGCCGTAGTACTGTTGATGCTGCTGCTTATCCGGGAAACCTGCGCCCTATCTAGCACAGGAAGGTCCTCCTGGGCCGCCTCCAGGCCATTAGAGCACCTTCTCCCAGTTTCGGATGGGGCCCCCGAGGCCCCGGGAGGTGAAAGGTCTCAGCGCCCGGCTCTGGCTCTGGCTCCCCTGCCCCCAGTAGCCCCCGCACGTACCCACGGCGTAGATCTCGATGCTGATGGTGAAGATGGAGTGGGAGCGCGAGGAGTCCTTGTTCATCAGCGTGTAGCCCACTGAGCGGTTCTTCCAGCCGGTCTCCATGATGCGCTCACACTGGGCCACGCTGTGCACCGTGTGCATGGAGAGCCCCTTCACGTACACGCCCCTCTCCGGGTGCTCCTTCAGCTATGGGCGGGAGGGAAGGGTCAGAGCCTCATGGGACCAGGGATCCCCAAGGGACCCAGGGAAGGGCCCAGTTCGGGCCGCCTCTGCCCTCCTGCAGCGCAGGGAGGCACCTCATGGTCCCTGCAACAGGCAGGGGCTTTGCTCCAGGTGGAACCAGCCTCAAACCCATCCCACTTCTTTCTTCCTTGTTGTGGGACCTTGAGCCAGTAACTCAACTTCTCCGGGCCTTGGTTTCCATATCTGTAAAATGGGTATGAGATACCCATCTCTTAGGGACGGGATGGGGATTCAGTTAAATAAGGCCCGTCCAGGCTTGGCACAGGACCTGGCACATGGCAAGTGCCCCGTAACTCCAGGCGATATCCACGCTATTGGTGGTGGCGGGATTATCATGAAGGGCCATTCTAGCCTGGGCGCTCAGCTGCCAGGGGCTGACCCTGTAGTCCCCCGAGGGCTCGGAAAGCTGCTCTTTCAACCTTTCGATAGGGCTCCTGATCGCCTCTCTGCTGTGGCTCCAGGGAAACAGGAATGTTCCCAGGCCTTTGGATCGTGGCCGGCAAAGGGCCATTTGTTGCCCAAAACTCGCACTGGTGCCAGCTCAAACTGGCCTCCAGCCCTCAGTGTTATGGCAGCGAGCAAATTAATTTATCTGACTGCTCCCTGCTTCCTCTCCAGGCAGCCAAGTTGTTTTGTTGCTGACACAGAGCTGTGAAATGCAATATTTTTCAAGTGTGAGGAAATAAAACCACCCCGGCAAGAGCAGAATGAATGAGGACAAGTCATGTCCCTGCTGGTCTGAGCCACAGAGGCTCAGGTGCTTTGCTCCCGGCGGCTCTGGGGTCCCACGTGGGGCTGGGCCCTCGCTGCGTGGGGTCAGGGGGTGGGCGCCCAGGCTTGCCCTATCTGCTCAAGTGTGGAGAAACACCCAGACCCAGACTGAAGGACTGGACCATCAGAGGCACAGACTAGGAAGGGATTTGCTGAAGGTCACAGAGCTATTAGTAACAGAGAATCAAATGGGATCCCCCGCTATGGAAGGTTCCACAGGCCAGGGATGGAGAAGCCGGAGCATCCTGCAGTAACTGAAGTCTGAAATGACAAAGGGCTGACCTTGACCTAGGACGTAGGGGTGAGGACAGAGCACCAAGGACGGAGGGAAGCAGGAGACCCCGCCAACAGAAGGTGGTTGAAGTTGGCCTGAAAAGCGCTGGCAGTGCCCTCTGGCTCCCATCACCTGCCCGCCTGCCCACCCAGCCCCAGGACCTGGAAGCCGCCTGCACACAGTGGGCCCTGGGGGTGAGCAGTTGCTCCGGGCCTCAGTCTCGGGGAGCAGCAGGCTCCTGGTCTCCTAGGTCAGAGGCCTGGCCTTGCCACTTGCTGGCCGGAGAAGTCAATTTGCCTCTCTCGGCCCCGGTTCCCTCTTCTGTCTGATGATGATAAATCCTGCTTCTGCGAGACCACTAGGAGGACTGAGAAGAGGATAGAGCTAAAAGCCAGTCTTGTGGGTATGCGGAGGGACGCCACCAGCCGAGGGCATGGGGGATAGGGGGGCACCCCTCAGGAGCAGGGAATGTGGGCGGGGAGGCAAGCCCTCCCACAGCAACGCCACTGCCCTACTTTTAGGCCCTGGAAGGCTTGCTCCCCAACCTTATGATCCCCCACAATCCTGCCCCACTCGGTCCCAGCCCTGCTGCCCCAGGGAGGCCCTGAGTGCCCGAGTAAATACTCCCTCCGACCCAGCCCAGAGCCTGGGCACCATGGCAACAGCTGGGATGCAGCTGGCGAGGGGCAGGTGCCCCAGGAAAAAGGGGCTCCTGACACTGCCCCCCAGCACAGTGAGAGGCCCCCGAGGGCTTTACCTCTACCGCCCAGGGTGGCCTGGTTTCCTGAGGCTGGTTGGTAGTGGTGTCCGGGCCCATCTACTCACCTCTAATTACCAAAACCATCAGACCCTGTGGGAAGCTCGGGTTCCGAGCCCGTGCTGCGGGGCCGGCCACCTGGAGTCAAACCCAGCCTCCCCCTTCCTGACTGTGTGCGCAGACGCTGGCCTCGCCCAGGCGCATTGAGCCTCCGTTTCCTCCTCTGGCATAAAGGGTCAGAGCAGCACCCCCTCCTAAGGCTGTCCTGAGGTTCCCAGGAGCACCCACCTGCACCTTCTCCAGGAGACAGTGGGTCAAATCCCCACACCCGGTGCCCCGGCAGGGAGTCCTCTGTCACTGGCACCCCCAGCCCCCCACCCCAGCAGGCTGACTCACCAAACCTGAGGCCTGGAGCCCGGATGGGGCAGGGGCACAGCTGCCAGCCCTCAGGGCCTGCATCACTGAGGCCCTTCTAGGGTCCTGGGTGTGGAAGCAGGGGAAGTGGGCCCCCTGCTGCCCCAGTGCAGGTTGGCAGGGGGCCCTGATCCCCCAAGCTGGCCTTTCGGGACTGACACGTGGGAGCAACGTCCTGTGCCTTCCTCGCCCCCCCCCATCTCCCTGCCTCGGGGATGAGCTGTGACTCAGCTGCTCCAACTCCTCGATAGAGAAAACAGTAGAAAGACTACAGGTGGGCCGCCCGAGGTCCCAGCCCAGAAAGGGCAGAGCGCTGCTGCTGCGTTTGTCGGGAGCTGAGGCTGGGGGGCAAGGCCGCCTGTCAGGATGGGGCCTGGGAGGGAGGGAGGTCACACCCGTGTGGACCTGCTGTAGCACGCGGCCGAGCACCTAGCACCGGAGGTCTTCCCAGGCTTCGCTGCACGAACAGGTCACCGGCTGGATATGCTTTCTTTGGCTGGAACCCCATTACTGGCTTCTTAGTGTCCCGGGGCGTTCTCTATGTTGCTGACCCCAAAGCATTCTGGCAGGGAAGCCCCTGACCACTCAGATCCCATAGGGTCTGCTACCAACACCATTACTAGCAATTAGCTGTGTGGCCTTGGCCACGTCCCTTCCCTTCCCTGGGACTCAGTTTCTCCATCTGTACTAGGAAACGGCCGACTAGAAGCTCTCTAAGGGTCTTCCCAGCTCAAATTCTTAGGGATTTTTCCCCAGTATGGCCAAAACAAACACATTTTTCAAGACAGTTGCTGCCTGGGGTCTGATCTGTTCACTTGGATCAAAGCGTGGTCGCAGGTCAGAGAGGAACTCGCAGACATCCCAGCGGGGGTGCCCAGGGGACAAGTAGGAGGCTCAAGCAGAGTGGGGACATGGCCCTGCCCTCTCCACGTGGGTATGGATCGAGGGAACCAGGTGCTTCCAACACCCTGTCCAGTCTGGGGGTCACCGGGGGTCAGGAGGACAGGGAGGCATCAGCAGCAGCCCCGTCACCTGGTTCTGTCAAGGCATGGGCCCTGGGGAGACTTAAGCAGCTCGTCACAGAAAATGTCCAACCCTGGGGTTGCCAGGGTGGCTCAGTCCGTTGACAGTTAAGCATCCGACTCTTGGTTTCAGCTCAGGTCACAATCCCAGGATCTCAGGGTCCTGAGATCAAGCCCCGAGCTGGGCTCCGTGCTCAGCGCAGAGTCTGCCTGGGACTCTTTCCCTCTCCTCCCCCTCCCTCTCTGCCCCTCCCTACTCACTCGCTCTCTCTCATTCTCATTAATTAATTAATTAGTTAATTAATTAATTTTTTAAAAAGAAAATGTCCAACCCTGACTCAGGCTTCCTAGCCTCAGGCAAGTCACCTTCTCTTTCTCAAACCCTTTCATCCATAACCTCCTAGGGGTGATGCGCCCCCAGCTCGGGCATTCCGACTCTGCAGGAGGTGGGCCTCTTAGGAAGTCCCCTGGTTGCTTGGTCAGATAAGAAGCGTGGGAGTCAGGGGTACCCCCCTGCATTCTGGCCACAGGACTGACTCAGCCTCCCCTCCACCCCTGCCCCCTGCACTGGCCTCTCCCCCTAGGACCCAACCCGGCCACCCCAGCATTTAAAGAGTCCCAGAGAGGAGGCATAATCCAGGCCTCCCACTCAGGCCAAGACCTGGGTCCAGCCTTGCCACCAACTGGCTGTCGGGCCCTAGCAAGTCACTTGACCTCGCTGGGCTCCCCAAAGGGTCAGCCAAATTCTGCCTATCGTGTGTGACCCCCTCAGAGCCACATGTTGAAGGCCTTCTGTGCGCTGGGCTCTGCGAAGGGCTCATGCTTGCCGCCCTCTTTGGTGCTCATTTTGTAAGGGTCATGTCACCGGTCCTGGGGTGCCCCATACCAGACACCTTGCAAAGGGGAACAAAGTCCCAGAATCTGAGGCCACAAATAACCATGAAATGGGATGTTTGGAGTCACGACCTTGAAGTCAGACAGACCTAGGTTCAAGTCCAGTTTTGGCCACACCCATAGGCAAGTGAGTTAATCTGTCAAAGTGTCCCTTCCCACACGGGGAGACTGGGGATAGCAGCTACCCAATGGGATCACTGTGACTAGTGACAGGGTCGTGTGCCTAGAGCAGCAGCAAAGAGAACTCAATAAATGATAATTGTTATCACCTTCCTTCTAGCTTTTGGGGCCCTTTGAGATTTTTAAGTAACTTTTTTAGAAGTGGAATCTATTTTTCAAATGAAATCTATCACAAAACTCCATCTACTTCACCAAATATAGGTGGCCTGACCCCAGGTAAGGTCCAGTCCTCTACTGTGTGGTCAGGGGTAGACCTGTGAGTGCCTCCCCTGTACCAGGGACCCTGAGAATCCTCCAAAATTCAAGTTCAAAAGTCCCCACTCTCATCTGAACCAGCGCCCGTGGCCCCAGGATACCTTCCCCGTGCTTCTGAAGGAGCACTGATGCCAGCCTCTCCCCTCCCTCGGCCCCTCCCTGCCCTGGGCCATGTTCACACCCACCTCCAGCTTCTGCTTGGTGTCCGTCCCCAGCAGGTCACGGACATCTTCGTTGTAGATCTCCAGGTAGGAGGCCCGGACCAGGAACTTGGTATTCTCTGCACACTGCCAGGTGTGGACAGGGACAGCCAAGACACCTGAGTGCCTACTGCCAACACTGACCCAGCCCCCTACACCCTCTCCAGCCAGGACCTAATAAAAGGACATCTCGGCCAGAGAGGCGCGACGTCAACAGGAGGGGAGTCCCCAAGCCCTCCTGGCCCTGTCTGCCTGCCTGGCCAGCTGCCCGCCGCTCCACTCCAGCCCCGTGGCCCCCTGGGCTCCTCTGACTTGCTTAATTCTCATACTACTACTGTCGCATGCTCTCCACTGCCTCATAGGAAAGGAAATGGGAGAGGCCTCCCCTTATTCAGGTAGAGAAACTGAGGCCAAGGTAAGGACCAAGCACTGGCTTTGGTTTGATCCTTTCTTATTGCTAAGGTTCCCGGGGGTGGAGGGAGGGCACAAAATGAGTCCTGGGAGCAGGTACGGTAGGCTCTGCGGCTGACCAGGGTCGCAGGCCCCACTCCACCATCTCTCCGAAGCAAGGATCTCTGCTCATGGCCAGGACTGGCCCCCATGGCAGTCCTCACCTGCAGCCCTGACACTGGGATCCCCAGTCTTGCCCTGCATAGAAGGGGGGTTAAATCTGGGCCTCCCTGTGTCAAAAATGGGGACAATGGAGATCTCCTGGGCAAGGTGGGGGGGGGGTTGGTGGGATCATGACGCTAAGGGCTTCCCACTAGGCTTGGTCAATAGCAACTGCTTCATTAATTGTCACAACCCCTTCTCGGGCCGGCGCTCTGGGTCATCGGGTCCACGTGGGACAGCAAGTAAAACGTTAAAGTCCAAAAATGGCAGGATGAAAAACATGGAACTGGGAGGCAGAATTTTCTCAACGTGAAGTTCTTCTCCCATCCCCCTTTCAGAAACCGAAGCCTGCCTCTGCTCACGGCAGAGGTCACGGCAGTCTCCGATGTGCTCAGAGTCCTTGCTGCGGGGCACTGGTGCTCCAGAACCCCTCGCCGGAATGTGTGGGGAGCCCCCAGCCCTGAGCGCCAGCCCTGCCCCTTCCCGCCACGAGGGCCCTACCTGGACACTCTCGAAAACGTGCTCGAAGGCCCTGGGGATGACGCCTCTCTGGCAAGGCGGGTCCGGCAGGCCCTGCATTGTGAAGGACTTCCCGCTGCCCGTCTGACCGTAGGCGAAGATGGTGCCATTGTAGCCCTCGGTGACACCCTGCGTAGGGGGACCACAAGCCCGGTGCTCAGCTGGCCAGGCCCAGTGGGACTCGGGGCCCCTCCCCGGGTGTCACGATGGCACCTCGCCAGCAGGCAGTGCAGAGACGAGTGAGCCCCGCTCTGCCCCCAAGGAGCTCACCTCCTGGTGGGGAGCCTGACACACGCAAGTGACCCTCATACCAGGCAAGTGGCAGTGTCCGGGGAGCGGGCAAGGGGGGGGCAGACAGAAGAGGGGGAGCTGCAAGGTGGCTCAGGGTTCAGGAAGAGGATGGCTTTCCAGGCTGATGGGAGCGCAGAGCGGGCAGAGGCGGAGGGCAGGTGGAGTGGGAGGAGGGGAGAGAAGACAGGAAGGAAATCAGAGCAGCACTGAAGTCAGTCTTCATTCACAGACACATTTATTCATTCCCTAGGCACAGGCACCACTCTCTAGCTGGGGACATGGTGATGAACAAGGCGCAACCCCAGTCCCTGCCCTCGCAGAGCTCATGAGCTCATCGATTCTAGAACTCCACACAGGGGAGGGGGGAGCCTGTGTCAGCACAGGACAGCTGCTCCCAGGCCCCGAGGGCCCACCTGGCATCTTCGCCCAGCGACACTGCCAAGACCCATCCTGTGGACCACCGAGGGGCCCGGGATCCCCAGGGACTGCTGCTGGAGGAGACCCCAAGTCACGATTCACGGCTTCTTGGAGGCCTAGGCCTCATTTTTACGGGCAGAACAGGACAAGCACCTCTGTTTTGTCCAAGGAAGCCCTGAACGCTGTGTGGGTTCCTGCACCTCATCAGAGGGAGGGGGGCTGCATGATAGGACAGCCCCCTGCTGGGGTGGGGGGCGGGGCAGAGCAGTCACCTGCTGGAAACCTCAGAGCCGGGGACACCTGCAGCCCCGGGATCAGATGGTGCTGGGTCCAGAGTATCAGAGTCACCCAAACCCGGAGAAGGTGTTCTACTCGAAAACAGAGATGGCTTCACTGGTGGGTAGGGTAGCCAGCAGCCATGCTAGAAATGGGCCCAGTGGGACTGAGAAACTGAATTTCTTTGATTTGATTTAGTTCATTTACATTTAACTGAAGCAGTAGGAAATGTTTTCCCATTAAGCATCACTTTATTTTTTGTTTCATTTCATTTTAACTGTTGACACTCGAGCATCTGCATGGAAACATGCTACAGTGTAAAACATGGCTGAGTTCAAAGACTGCATGAAGAAAGAATGGGAAATATCCCACTGTCACTATATGATGACAACATTTATCAGCATGTTTTCTTGAAATAAAATTTTGGGTATACTGGGTTAAATAGAATTTATTATTAAAGCTAATTTCATTTTGTTTCCTTTCCCTTTTTAAAATGCTCTGTTGGGGGGCACCTGGGTGGCTCAGTGGGTTAAAGTCTTTGCCTTCAGCTCAGTCATGATCCCAGGGTCTTGGGATAGAGCCCCAAACGGCATCGGGCTCTCTGCTTGGCAGGGATCCTGCTTCCCCGCCCCCAACTCCGCCTGCCTCTCTGCCTACTTGTGATCACTGTCTGTCAAATAAAAAATAAAAAAAAATCTTAAAATAAAATAAAATGCTCAGTTGGTTGAGTGTGGGACTCTCGGTTTAGGCTCAGATCATAAGGGGTCCTGGGATCGAGCCTCGCATCGAGCTCCCTGCTAAGCAGGAAGCCTACTTCTCCCTCTCCCTCTGCTTGTGCTCTCACTCTCTCTCTCAAGTAAATAAACAAAATCTTTAAAAAATAAAAAACTTAAAATTTAAAAAATTTTTAATTAAATTAAAAATTAAAAAGTCACACCTCTCAAATCATATATATAAAATAACAAATATCTTAACAAAATAAAATGTGCTTACTAGAACATTTAAATTAAGCATGTGGCTCACGTTACATTTATACTGGAGATCCTTGCTCCAGAGCTGGGCTCTTCAATGGGGCGGCCACTAGCCACATGTAGTTATTTAAATTTTTTTTTTTAAAGATTTTATTTATTTATTTGACAGAGATCACAAGTAGGCAGAGAAGCAGGCAGAGAGAGAGGAGGAAGCAGGCTCCCCATCCAGCAGAGAGCCCGATGTGGGGCTCGATCCCAGGACCCTGGGATCACGACCTGAGCCGAAGGCAGAAGCTTTAACCCACTGAGCCACCCAGGTACCCCGTAGTTATTTAAATTTAACTTGACTTTAAACAAAATTAAAATTCAGTCCTTCAGTAGCACTAGCCTCTGTTCAGGTGCTCACCTGACGTCGATGGCCGGTGGCAGCTCGAGACAGAACATTTCCACCGCTGCAGAAAGTTCTACAGAACAGGATATCATTCCGCAGTGAGGTAGAAAACAATTTTACGTGCATTTTTAAGGCAAAACATAGGATTTCAAAAAGTTTTCACCCATCAAGTGATACCTCCAGAGCTGCGAGGGCAAGCAGACAAGCTTGCCCGAGGAACAGGTCCTGACTGTGACCCCTCATTCCTCCACCCCAGGGTCCACACATCTCCCTGCTCTCTTACCAACCAGCAGACTTGCAGGAAATCAATGGCTAATGGATTCTTTTTAACTTGCTGTCACCCTTGGCAGTAATTCCCATGAAACTGCATTACAGGCTGGATGTGCTGAGTACTTTCCTTCCCTTACATTAAACATGTAACCACTGCAACTGAAATTAAAAGCATCTGTCCAGGGGCGCTTGGGTGGCTCGGTTGGTCAAATGTGTGACTCCTAATTTCAGCTCAGGTCGTGATCTTAGGGTCTGGGGATTGAGCCTGCTTCTCTCCCTCTCCCTTTGCCCCTCTCCCCACTTGGGTTTTCTCTCTCTCTCTTCCTCTCTCTCTGAAATAAATAAACCTTAAAAAAAATTTTTTTAAGAGCATCTGTCCTAAATTGCCTCATGTCCCCCTTCCGCCCCTTCCCAAGCACACCACTGAATGTCCCATCTGGGGACCGAATCCCATTGCTTCTACTGCACTGATGTCTGGGCGTGGTAGAAGTCATGGTACCTGGCCTGTGGGTGGGCTGGGGATGGCTCATCAGGCGCAACTCCAAGGCCATGGGTGTGAAGCCGGGAGAAGGGGCAGATGGCAAAGTCACTGGCTGGGAAAGAGACCGTCGAGTCGACCAGGTAGCAGGCCAGGCGCGGAAGTGAGGAGCTCAGGTGAGAATGGGGTGAGGAGGCGGAAGTGGGGGGTTTAGGGTGGGCAGCACCCAGGAAAGCCAAAGAGATCATCCAGGGACAGAGAAGATCAGGAATAGGGACTAGATTTGAGGCCTGGAGAAGCAGGAAAGAAAAGGGCAGGAAGGGGCAGTCAGAAGTGCTGGGGGCTTTGTGCAATAGGGACCCAAAGTCAAGGGCCTGGATGGGAGGCCCCATGGAGATGGCAGAAGCCCCAGGAGAGCCTGAAGTGGGCTCAGAGCCCCGCCGGGCAGACCCACAGCCCCCTGGCCCTAATGGCACAGCTGCTCCTGGCTCAGAGTCACCTGAGCTGTGCTCGGTGTGCTGCTCATTTAATGGGAGGCAGCAGGATGGAGCACGGGACCAGACACTGTGCTGGGTATCAAAACCACCCCTAATTCATTCTGTGATACTCCAGACCTCAGTTTCCCCACCAAGAATGAGGACTCCAGCTCTATACTTGTCCCCAGAGTCAAATGCAGGCCTTCACCTGGAAGGCCCCTGCCTCCACCTTCCTACCTGGCTTACCCCTCTCTTTCTTCAGGTCTCAACTTAAACCTCACCACTTTCAGGAAGCCCTCCCAGCCTTCCCCTCCCTTCCTATACCCTCCAAGCCCAGGTTCTCCAGCTGTCAACATGCCCCAGGCTTCCTCTCCCCTTCGTCACCTTGGATTGTGGGCAGGGGTCTGGAATTGGTGTATTAGCTTAGCTGCTCCTCCCCATGACCATGAGCTCACCGAGGGCAGAGGCCACGCCTTTCAGGGCTGTGCTCCCCAAGCCGAGGACCAGCCTGGTATAGAGCTGCTACTTTTTAGCTGAATGGGTGAATGAATGAAAATGAGCTTCTGTCATGTTGAATTCAAGGCTCTGGGGGATGTCCAGAGGCAGGTGTCTGGCAGAGAATCCCAAGAAGTGGGGGAACTCAGGAGAAGAGGGAAAGCCAGAGGGGAGATGTGATAGAAACACCGTCCTTAGTGTCTCCTACCTGGGGCTGGGGTTTCCTGAGGAAGTGCTCAGGGGAGTACTTCCAGGATGAGGCAGGGACCCACGAGCAAGGCCAAGGGACTCAGTCTTGGAATCTAAATCTCTAAGGGGCCGACCCTGGAAAAGGGAGCAGAGGAGGTCTGTAGGGCCTCAGGGACAGAGCCAGGACAGGTGGCTAAAAGCTTCAGGGACACTAATTCTGACTCACCATGCAGAACAGTCTTCTAGGCGCCAAGAAGCTAAGGGGAAAGGGGCTGCTTTGGGAAGAGTGAACTTCTGCCACTGGGTGGACATTCAAGGACCCAGTGGGGAGAGGGGTCGCACCAGACACAACCCCTCAGGTCTCTTCCAGCCTAGGAGTGTGACAGCCTCCCAGTGCAGAAGGACAGCCTAGCCATCCCCAGTGTCTGGGACCACAACCTAGGGAGAGCTGCCCTCATCTCCCGGGCATCATTTCCATAGGGCCCTGACCACTGGGGAGTTCTGGGCTTCAGAACCCTTCAATGCTCTCAAGGGAGGGCTTTGAGCCTGGTAGAGAAATGGGGCAGTCGAAGGAGATGCTCTGGAGGATTTAATTGGCCTGCCAGCGAAAACAACAAAGGTTCTACCACGCATTTTGGAAACACGGGGTTTAGGAAGTCAAATCAGTTTCTTCACTGCGGGATTCTCCAGAACCTCGGGTACCTGAATATGCCGTGGGAAGCTTCAAGCGAAGGACGGTGTAAGCACCATTTCCCAAAGTTGTCCTTTTTCCCTGGGACAACCTGTGACATCTCACTTAACTAATGACTCGCTGAATGGCTGGGGAGATGCCTTGGGAAGAGCCTGTGGCCAGAAGACATGAGGCGTAGCTCCAGCCACTCCTCTGCTGGAAGCTTGGGCAAGTTTCCCTTTTCTGGGCCTCAGTCACCCTATCTGTGAAATGTGCAAGCGACCTAGTGTGAGTGCTCCGGAAAGCAAAAGCCCTATGAAGGGTGACAAACTGGTGTTGCCTCTTTGTTCCTCAACTGCTGAGAAGAAGATGATGATGGGTTAGACCAAAGGGAAACGGTTTCCGTTCCTCCCAGACAAAGGCCGAAAGGAGGGAAGCAGAGATCTTTGTCGGAGGGAGGATGAGAGATGATTCTGGATGCTGAGGGGAGAAAGCAGAGGCTACAGCCGGGGAAGAAAAGGAGGAGGCTGGGGGAAGAGGCTTGAGCATTTGGAGAAGTCCTCAGGTCCTCAGCTGATGGTGGAGGGCAGGCAGTCTTGGAGGCTGGAGCTCTTGTGGGCAGGGGGCTGGGAGGGGTGGGGGCGAGGGCCAGCTCTGGCCTTGCAGACAGTGGACACCGGAACCTGGACGTTGTAGGTGGGTTCCAGCGGTCTCCTACCTAGACAAAAGACTTCAGCCCAACCTGTTGGTGTCCACCTACTTCCTCCAGAGGGGCGTCCCAGCCCAGCTCGGGGACAGCGCTGTCCCTGCAGGCCCCCTGGGCGGCGGCCCCCCGGGCGCCCTCACCTCCACCAGCGGGTAGGCGATCTCGTTGTAGATCTGCTCGGTGAAGTGGTCCATGTAGTAAGCGCCGTCGAAGGTGAACTGCTTGGGCGGCTCGTCGGCGGCGCCCGGGTTCTGGATGAAGCACTGGCCGCGCGCGGAGTCCACCGTCACCACCGGCTGGCAGTTCAGCTCCCGCTCCCGCTGGTTCATGGGGCGGCAGCGCACCACCACCTTCACCGACTCCGAGGCCATGGCGCCTCGGCGGGGGTCCCCCCGGCGCGGCCCGACGTGGGCGGTGCGGCCAGGACTCAGGACCGCTGGGGTTAGGGGGCGGGGCCAGCGCCGGGCGCGGGGGGCGGGGCCGCGCGGCGGGGGCGGGGCCGCGCCCGCCGCCGGGGGCCGGGACTCCCCGCGGAGCGCCCCGAGAAGAGAAGGGGCGCGGCGGTGGGGTCGCAGGACCGGAGCCGGGACCGCCGCCTCCTCCCGCGCCCGGGCTAGCCCGTCCCTGAGGCCCGGCCCGGGGAGGAGGCAGTGGGGGATCCGCGCTGCAGGCGCCGCCGCACGACCGGAACCCCGGAGCCGCCCCAGCCGCCCGCGGGCACGCGCGCCGCCGCGGCGTTCGCGGTTGCCCGGCAACGCCTGTGGCGTCACAGCCGACGGCTCCCGGGGGTGGGGGTGGAGGGTCTGCGAGTTCTCCGCACCCAGCCCCTGGGAGAGTCGCGCAGGAGTCTAGCTGTTGGCTGGCCGGGGCGGCTCGCTTCGCTGGAGCGTCAGCTCTCTCCTCTAATCCCCACTGCCCAGTTCAGAGAGGTTAAGCAATCTGCCCGAGGTTGCTCAGCTAGGACCGGGAGAGATGCAGGAGGCAGGCCTTCAAGCGGTAGTGAGAGGCCTACTGAGAAAGGCGACGGAGACCTTGCTGCCTTTTATCCACACCCCTCTACTGATTCGGGGGAGGGCTGCCTCCGACAGAGCAAATCTTCTTATGCTGCCCTCATTTTTTCTAAGACAAAGGTTAAAAAACAAAACAAAACCATTTTTGAGAACCGAAGTCTTTTGGCCAGAGAGGTTGCCAGGCCAAAATCCCCCGGCTCAGCCCAAGTCCCTCCAGCCAGAATGGCAACTCTCATTTCCCTGCAGGAAGTACCCACTGAGGATTTTTAACAGAAGAGACAGGATTTGAATTAATCTACCTATGCTATTCCTTCAGGACATCCTGAGCCCCTGGACACAGGATCCCTCTGGTTCACCACCCAGCACCAGCTAAAGTTATGGTTGGCAAATCAAGATAGGCAAACTGGACAAAGACCTTGACTTTCAAAGGAAAAGTCTGTGCTAGACAATCGGAAAAAAATGCATTTTATTTGTTTCAAGTGCACACAGGAGAACGGGTTACCCAGATGGTGCCAGTTGGAACAAAAAGAAAACTGATCTATGGTTAAGACATTGAAGCATCTGCACACGTGGGTCAAAACCCTTGCCCTCTGCATACCACGTGATGAGTGAAGGAATGTTAAAGTGCTTTGAGAACATTCTTGATACCTTGTCCACATGGAGGATATGCTCAACGATACCCATCTCTCACAGAGGTAGGCTTTGGCCTCAGGCCAGGCCAGTCGCCAGGTCTTAAACACATGTCTCCGGTGCTGTAATTCCAGCACCCCAGGACACCCCGTGTCGGCCAACCCCTCTCTTTGCCAGGGAAATGTGAGACCAGGCCTCCCACAAGGGACCATGGGTTCTGGTGGAGATGGCTATAAATTGAGTCCCAGTTCCCCCTCCCATTCAGTGTAAACCCAGTGCTGTGGTTCCAATGAGGAACCTCCTACCCCTGCTATCCCTTGTGATGAGTGACATGGTCCCCAGCCCAGCCCATTCCCTAGGCAGGAGGTTGTGAGCTGGGAAGCCAAGGCCTGACCTCCAGAGGAGCCTCCCTTCTTTCTCTTCCATCAGGGCCACCCTCTTCCTCCCAGGAGTCAGAAATCATTTTCAAGGCATAGAACAGTCACATCCCACTCCCAGATGTGGGAGAGGGCAGCCCCCAGATTCGTGACTCGGCCTCTGCCTCAGGAATAGAAGTTCCTCCAAAGTGAACCTGTTCCCTAAGTAATTCGGTACTTGTGTCCATCTTTCGAGCTTACTTGTAAAGGCGCTGGGTACCTGTCACTCACTTCAGGGCCACTACCTTAGGCCCGAGTCATTTCCCTGTTACCCCACCCACCCCGCGAGGCCCAGGCCCCTCTGGCAGGACCCATATCAGTTCCACCTTTGGATGGTTCTGCTCTGAGTCCAACCCCAGTGCGGCAGGCCTGGTGAGGCGGCCCCTGACAACCACGGCCAGCGCCCCGTTGTGGGGAGTGGGCCAGAATCAGGTGGCTTCCCAGGCAACCCCCAAACCCAGACCGGCCCACAGGATGAGCTGAATAGGACCCTGGTCACCCTGCACACCTGTGGCTCACTGCGGGCCCCTCCTGGTCAAATGCACAAAGGAAATGAGCCTGTGTGTGTGTGTGTGTGTGTGTGTGTGTGTGTGTAGGGGTGTGTGTCCCAGTGGTCCTGGGGGTGTGGAGGCAGGAATCAGAGCCCTGTGGATTTGACTGGAGACAAACCAGCCTTTCTAAGCACAGAGTTTCTTTGTGCTGTTGGCTCACATCCCTTCTAGAGACAGGTGTCCGCGTGTGTGCGGGCATGTGGGGGGCGCGGCTCTTTGTCCATCCTGCCTTTCCATGCCCTCCTAAGCTTCATTCCTAAGAATGGAATTCACAGAATCCAGTGGAAGACTCCCTCGCTGTCCGATGCTGTGAGACACAGGCTGTGCTCTGCCGGCGGGTGCAGCTGGGCCCAGCCGCCAGGCCTGTCAGCTCCTCCGAGCGCTCTCCGTTTCTCTCCTGGTGAGGGTGGCTCACTCCCAGGTCTCTGCCCACACTGAGGACTCACTCCAGCCTCCCCAGTCACCTCGCCCTCATGTGCCCGGCCGCCTCAGTCGGGTACTGTCGGGAGACTCCCGGTCAGGGCCCCAAGGGCTGGCCTCTTTGGGAGAGGACCACATCCCTCATGAACAAACCTTCCTGCCCCCTCAGCAAGTTCCCCTCCCAGGAGTAAAGTGAAGCCCAGAGACAAGCATCCGAAGTCACACAGCAGGTGACTGGAAAGCCTGGAGCTCCGCCTGCCCCACCTACAATCTCCGCGGACCACATGTCTCGTGAGAAGCCACCAGCGATCCCCAGTGTCAGGGCTCCCCACTAGCACAGGCGGTGACATGATGGAATATTGGTCCGAGGGACAGAGTCGGCGGGTGGAACTGGTGACCAGCAGGGCAGCAGAGGGGCAGGGCGGCCTGGTGAGGCCCAGGAGCCAGGGTGAAGTAGGGCCGGGGGCTCACCTCCTAGCCCAGGCCCTGAAGCTCTGCCTCGGACTTGGCATGGCCAAGGGGCCGCAGTGTCCGGGGGGGTCTGCCCTCGGACCCGCAGTCCTGCTCTTCGTAGCTGGGGTTCAGGCGGCCCATGTCAAGGGAGCAGAAGAGGCTGCGCTCCGTCCCAGCGTGGTGCTCCAGCAGGGCCTCCAGGCTGGCAAACTCGGCCGGCAGGTGCTAGGGGGGCAAAAAGGGCTGACGCTCTGGCTTCCCTTCCCCCACAGCTCCGCTCTGGGCACCCCCCATCCCCTCACAAGGGATCCTGCCCCACTTCAGAAGGGAGGAAATTCGACCTCAGAGAGGTCACCATCTTGCGTATGGCAGAGCCAGACACTGTCTCCTCTCTGTCTCGCCAGCCTGGACGGGACTGAGCCATTCATCTTGTAACAAGTGCGCACATCCAGCCCCTGGAAACCTGTGGTCAGGCCAAGACTCCAGACCTGAAAGCCCAGAGGCTGGGTGAGGTTAGGCCAGTGTCTGCCCTCTCTGAGTCAGTTTCCAGCCCCGCTAAAAGACGGGCTATGGCGTGGGAAAGCCACTTTTAAGAGCCAGGATTCCTATAGAAATGGGAAGCATGACCAGGGCCCAAGACTCTGAGGGCACCTGGGTGGCTCCCACGGTTAAGGGTCTGCCTCGGGCTCAGATCTTTGATCTCAGGGTCCTGGGATCAAGCCCAGGGTCCGCTCCCTGCTCAGTGGGGAGCCTCCTTCTTCCTCTCCCTCTGCTGATCCCCTTGCTTATGCTTGCTCTGTCTCTATCAAATAATTAAATAAAATCTTTAAAAAAACAAAAAAGGCCCCTCTGGAGGCCCGAGGGTGGGGCCAGCTGGACCAATAACAAACTAGATGGAGAGTTAATTAAATAAGGGGTGTGGCCAGAGAGAACCAATGGGGTACCATGATGAGGCACGTGGGCCCCCCCCCCCCCAAGCTCAGGTTATAAAGGGCGGGACTTGTAGGGGTGGGTCTTGCGGGGGGCGGGGCCCCGGGCAGGGCCCAGTGGCAAGGGCCGAGCAGGCTGCTTGCTTGCTCACCTCCACGCAGTAGCGGCCCAAGTGGTTCCGGAAGACCTGGTGGGGGACCACACCACACTGTGTCCGCACCGACAGGCACCACTGGCCACTGGTGCCAGGCTCGGGCCACAGCAGGAAGGCTCCAAGCACGTCTCTCCGCAGCAGGGCAAGGGCGCTGGGCCTGGAAGGGCAGCAGGGAGAGGCTGAGGGCAGGACTTCAGCCTCAGGTCACTCCCCGGGGTTGATGGCATCACCTGACCCCTCTGCCAAGGGAAGCTTCCTTCCTAAGAGGCATTAAGGGGCCTTTGACTGCTGACCACTGCAAGACCCACCCTGGAGAGTTTTGAAGAGGTGGCAGTTAGGAAGCAGCTGCTCTGTGACAGGCGAGGTGCTGAGAGCTTTCCCTGAGTGACCCCATTTGATACTCTCCACAGGCCTGCGATTATCCCCATTTCACATTTGAGAAAACAGTTCCAGTGGGGGAAGCCCCTGGCCCCAGGCCCACCAAGACCAGGACGGCTCTGCCTCTGTCCAAGAAGGTGGCACACCTCAGGACCCCGGGGAAGCCCAGAATCCATTCCTCTGCCCACCCCAAGGGGCTGTGTGTGCACCAGCCAGGCCAGCCCCCCCCCCCCCCCCCCCCCCCCCGGGGGCCCGGGCCCCCCCCCCCCCCCCCCCCCCCCCCCCCCCGATACCTGGAGATGCCAGCAAAGGCCCAGATGTTCTCCGTCAGGCTCCCCTCGCTCTCCACCAGACATGAGGGGCCACCAGGCCCCCGGGGCCACGCCTCCCATGCGGCAGGAACTGTGGAGACCACCCAGCGGTCAGAGAGAGGGAGAGGCCGCCCCACAGCTACCGACCCCATCCCTGCCATGCTCATCTCCTCACCAAGTCTCCCCCGCACAGAGAAAGGTCCGCCCATGGGCACAGCCCACACGCACCCACCCGCTCACCAGCTGGAGCACACCCACAGCTGTCCAATCACCTGTGCAAGCCCCCAGGTGTGCACACCTGGCTGCACACTCACGTGCACACAGGCAGATGCACACACAGGCCGAGCCCTCTGATTCACAAGGATGCACGCGGGCCTGTGCCCCCACACCCACGAGGCAGGCGAGCCCTGGGGACTCACAGGCCTCCCGAGCGGACAGCTGCAGCTGGGTCTCGTAGGTGCAGCCGCGGTAGGCCCCAGAGCGGATCACCTTGCTTCGAATGGCCTTCTTGCGCACCAGCGTGGGCGAGCAGTAAGGATTCCCCAGGCGGGCCTGGCGGCCCCCGCCTCGGCCTTCAGACTCCAGCAGCTCCTTCTAAGGCACCGAGAGGGGCCCACAGGGGCAGGCCGACTCAGGCCCCTGCCCAGTCAGGCAGAGCCCTTGCCGCTGCTGTGCTGCATTCCCTCCCATGACCCCCAAGCCCTCGCCCAATTCCCTCATCCACTGCCCACCCCGCGGCTGGGGTGCTGCGTACCCCACTGCCCACGGGCCCCTCTGCTGGCAGCCGCCGGAAGGAGACCAGTGCATGCACGTTCTGTGAGAGCTGACCACGGCTGAAGGGTTCCCGTACTAGGCCAGGGGGGACCCCAGGGCTAGACAGCTGCTTCGGGGCTACGTCCCCTGCAGACCCCAGGCAGGGCTCAGGCTGTGCGCGCTGCTCAGGGTGCTGCAGGAGGTAAGCGAGCTGGAAGGAGCGGCAGAGCAGCAGGTGCAGGATCTGGACCTGGGGAGGAGGAAGAGGCTGGCTCAGGTGGGACGGGGTCCCTGGGGGACTCCTTAGACAGCAACCCACTCGCTATTAGCGCGTGCAGCCCTCGGCTTGGGATCCTCTGCCCCATCCTTCCTGGGAAAACTCCCACTCATCCCTCAAAACTTCACCACCACGCAGTCCCCCCAGCAGCTTCCTTTGTTCATTGAACAGATCCTGAGCCCCGCTTTGTTCCAGACGTCACGCTTGGAGCTGGGAATACACAGGCTAAATGCACACCCGCCCCTAGCTTGACTACCCCACTCCATGTCCATTTCCTTTTAGAGGATCGGCTACGAGCCCAGGCCCTCCAATCCCACAGCCTGGGCTCCAGTGCCAGCTCTGCCACTTAGGGGCTGCTGTGTGAATCTGGGCAGACAGACGGGGGACTCCCCATCCCCACTTTCCTGTGCTCCTTCAGTGAAGTAGAGCACAGAGAGCCACCAGCATAAGCCTACCGCTCTGGGGCCAGTACGTTCTACCCCCCACATACATTACCCAGCCCCAAAATATTGGAGCTATGAGCTCCGGAAGGTCAAGGGCAGTGTCTCAGCCCCCTGTCCTTCCAGGAGCCCACACAAGAGCTTGAGATACAGGGCTGATGGCAAATGTTGCTAGCTGGCACCAAGCCCAGTCCCTGCTGGCCACACAGTTATCTGCCAAGCCTCTGCTGTTCATGGTGGCCGTGCTGGCTTTGGCTACTGGGATCTACCCATTCACCCACTAGCCCCACATGGCCACGCACCAGAGCAGTTCAAGACCTGGCCCCAGTCTCTACTGTCAAAGAATTCCATTGTCTGTGATTAGGAATAGACCAATGACAGTGTGGTTCATGTTCTGAGACCTCAGAAGGAAGAGTGGTCCGGAGGACTCAAGGTAGGCTTCAGAGACACATAGGCTGGCCTTGAAGGGCAAGCTGGAATTTACCAGAAGGGGAAGGGAATTCCAGGCTAAGAGACAGCATGAGCAAAGGCCTGGCAGAGTGACCATCCAATTTCTAAGCACATGGCCTGATCCCCATGTTCAGGCCCCGGGGAATGCTGAGGCCACTAACCTGCTTTTGTGGGGGTCCTCAGTGGGCAGAGACACAGAAGGAGACAGTGCGGGAAGGAGTGGCTGCCTGGAGGGGCCTCCGGCCAGCTTAGCTGAGCCCCCCGAGGCCTAGGTGTCTGGAGCCCATGCTGACGCACGGCACATCCCCAAACCCAGCCTTGGTGGTGGCTCCCCTGCCCCAGGCCCCAGGTACCTCTCCAGGCTGGTTGCCCACGAAGAGGTGGCAGAAGAGCTTGTTGGCCGGGCTCTGGGGGTTTCGGGCCATGAAGGCGAACTGGCAGTCAGCAGGGCACCAGGTGGAGTAGAGGATGCGCCGCAGGGCGTGAGCCATCAGGAGCACCTGGGGAGGAGCGGGCGGGACCGGCTCCGTCAGCCGCATGTGGCCTCTAGCTGCTGGCCCAGGGGGTGCCCGCCCTGTGGGTCCCACACGCCTGCTGGCTGGCCTCCAGGACCTGGTCTCTGGCCTCAGAGCCCAGCTTAACCCACCCCCGACCCCCCAGCTCCTGGGGGAAGAACTCTTCCCTTCTCCCAGGCCTGCCCAAACCCTGCTTCAGATGGGAACACTCAGCCTTCATGTGGCCTCCCAGCTCGGTCCTGTGCTCCCCACTGCCAACCTGCTGGCTGGGATTGCCCCCCCCACCCGCCCCCAACCACACTCCCCATGCTATGAATCCAAGTGGCAAAGCGCTCATTGCCTGCGGAGGCATGAAAAGAGGCAGTGGCCTGGGCCCTGGGGTGCACGTCTGGTGTCTGGAGTCGGAAACCGCCACTCTCTAGGTGACTTGATCAGGTAAGCACAGTCCTCTGAGCCCGCGTGACACTTACTAAGTGGGGACGGTGCCCTCTCTGATGGGGTTGCGGGTGGGGGCCAGTGAGATCTCGTGCAAGTGCCTAGGACCTGACCGCAAAGCCTCCATGACGCACAGCTCTGGGACACGGTTCACACCCGTCTTAGGAGACCGGCCCCGGGGTTGTGGGGTACACAGTCCGACACAAGGTTAGTGTTCAACACACACTGGCTTGCCCCAGGACGAGAAGGACCCGCGATCAGGCAGGCACTCCCAATGGGCCTCCAGCCTGAGTCTGGCCCCAGGCCAACCTTGGGCAGACCCACCCAGAGGCCCTCAGCCTGCAGAGAGGTGACAATCTTGACACTCAGGCCAGGAGGTAGCACCTGGAGCTTTTGGAGGGCGGGGCCGGGGGTGAGAAACCTTTGCCAGGGACGTTCAAAGGCCCAGAGCAGTCTGGGGAGGCAGGGACGCTGGAGGGGTGGTGCGGGCTGGGGGCTTTCTGAGGGAGGAGGACGCCGGTCCCGTCCAGTCCTGGCACCCACACAGGCTCCTACCTCGCCCTCCCCGCTGTAGATCTTGAGGCCCTGAAGGCTGAATTTCAGGATGACAGCCCGGCGTCGGGGACAATCCTAGGTGGGAGAGAGTTGGTCGGGGCCGGGCGTTACCTTCCAGGCCCTGCCCTGCCACAGGACCAGGCCCACCAGGCTGCGCAGTCAACTCCTCCCCCGGTGCCAAGGGACTGGGCCCTGGAGAGTGGACTCCCCAGGAGCTGCGGAGGTGCGGATGGGGCCTGGCAGATCGCCCCCCAGCCAGGGTCTTAGTGGGCCATGTTATGACCATCCCCCCCATCTCCACTATGGCCTCCACCCACGGGAGGCAGGTCACAATTGCTCAAGGGAAGCGGTCCCAGGGTTTAAGGGACACGGCTTCAGGAGCCTGGGTGTGGTCGTCTCTGGGCCCACTTCTCAGAATGACTTTGGTCTTGCCCCTCCCTGGGCCTCCCCCGCCCCATCTCTATGATTGGGGGGTTGGGTGAGATGGCCGCAGGGGCCATTCCAGCCCGACCCTCCCAGGCTGTGATCCCTGCTAGGGACAGGGACAGGCACATGCCCGTCCTGGCTCCCTACCTTCAGTGCCCACAGCTGTTGTTGTACAAGCCACACACTCTCCTGGGTGTCCAGGTCGTCCACGGGGAAGGAGCCCACGTACTGCTTGGGGGCGTGGTGAGGGCGGGAAGGAGGCCAAGTAGTCAGGACCATGGCCCCTGATCCCATCCTCCAGACTCTTCCCCCCGCCCCTCCACCAAACACACTCTGCTCTGCCGGGTAAGCTGGGAACAGGGACAGAGCACTGGACTTGGAGTCTAGCAGGCCCTGCTGCCTTCCCAGCAGGTGGCCTTGGTCATGCCTCTCTGCCCCTCTGAGGCCCCATCTCCTCATCTGTGCCCACATGCATTCTAGAGTCCGGGTCCACTGGGCAAGACAGGCATAACTCCTCCCCACGCCCCAGGACCTGCACTCAGCTCTGGCCCATGAAAGCGCACCCTGTGGGGGCAGCCACACCCACCTGGGCAAACTTGGTGATGCACCTGGGCCGGTGAGGGGCAGGGCCGCAATCAGAGGCCCTCCGGCCCCCTGCCCCGGCCCTCTGCATGGCCCCCAGGGTCCCCAGCTTCCAGCTCCACGGGAGAAAAGGCTGCAAAGGGCAGGGGAGAAAGGATGACTCCCAGGAACTCCGGCTCAGAGGCCGGGGAGCTCCCCGACCCTGCAAATCCTTCCTGGGCCCTTGCCGTGTGCCAGACAATGTCCAGGGCACTGGGAGCACAGGGAATACACGGCCCAGAATAAAATGACAGACTCCCTCCTGCCCCCGGGGAGCCAACAGGCTTGCGTGGAAGATAGACACTGAACGGATCCATCAGTAAGATATGGAACATCCTAGATGGTGATAGAGAAGAGAGGAGGCAGGGAAATGCAGGCCGGGGGTTGCTGCAGCAAGGAAGGCCTCGAGTAGGTGAGAGCTCTGGGGGAGGAGCTTAAGGTAGGCGTGGGGCAGGCCACCTCTGTGCTCTGGCCTCGGCCTGCCCCCTGGGTGGAAGTAGGGGTGCAGGCCATGGAACCAGCCTGTATAAAGTGCCAGGGAAGGGGGAACGCCTGGGAAAGTAGCACCCGAGAGGAGGAATGTGACAGCAGCCACTGTGCAGAGGCACAGGGAAGAAAGCAGCTGACCCCTTGGCTAGACCTTACCAGAAGAGTGGGCCAGAGCCAGACTGGGATTCGCCTTTAATGTTACTCCCCAAGGCAACTGAAGCTGTGCCCTGTGGGCAGTGGGGAGCCATAGAAGGCTCTAGGCCAGGAGCTCTGTGACCTATGAGAATGGCCCATGAGCTTGGTGGCCTGTGCTCCTGAGGCTAGCGACGTGCTACACAGGCCCTGCCTCATTCGGCCAGCCTGACTGAAGGAGCCCTGCCCCCCAACCCAGCCCAGGTTTTGGTCTTTCGTGGGGCCCCTTTCCCAAATCCACTAGTGGAGGAGAGAAGGAAACCTCCCTTACTAGACCACCCTCAAGGACAGGGAGAGCGCTCACTCCCCATTTAGAGCTCATGAGCGCAGCTGGTGCACAGTGAACACGGAATCAAGGCATCTTGAGAAAGAATGGCTGATGGCCTCTGTCTGGGTCCCGCATGACTCAGTTCCCTCAGTCCTTCCTGGGGCCAACTCAGACCCCACCTCCATCTCCCATCCTGCCTGGCTACTCACCAGACTACTTCCAATCACTGCACTTAGGATCAGAGAAATCTGGGTCCAAATGCTGTGTGACTTTGGGCAAACAGCCCTACCTCTCTGAGCCTCCATGTCTGCATCCCCCAAACCTGGGATCATGTCAGGACTCTAGAACTGAATGGAGGAGCAGGCACCCAGCATGATCCCAGCTGGGCCTGGAGGAACACTTAACAGGTACACGGAGGGTGGGGGGACCCCAAAGCCTGCTGTTCAGGAGGGAGCTTGGGAGGACAGTGAGGTCTGACCACTTTCAGGGCCCTCCTGGCATGGAAAGACAGGAAGGAAGACCTCCCAGTCAAGGAGAGTGAGGCAGAGGGAGAGGCCTGCCTGGGAGCCAGGATTCCTCCAGGAAAGAGCAGGTATTAGGGCGCTGGGCAGGAAATGGGTGTGTCCCAGGTGTGCTCAACCCACCTTCCTACAGATGCTCTCAGTGCCAAGAGCCCAGGAACCTCTCTCTGTCTGCCCAGACCTTGAGCCCCAGGCTCAGCCCGGGTGGGGGCAGCAGCAGCCACCCACGACATTCTGGGAGCAACCCCTTACTTCACTTTCCATGAGCAGCTGCGCCAGAAGAGCCCGAAATAAAGGCTGCACGGTCCCATGGACACTGTCCTGGTTCCTCCTCCCTGTACCCTTTCCCTTCCTGCTTTTCCAGCCTCGCACCCTCCACTGTTTGATCCTGATCATTTTTTCACATCACGTCCATAACCTATTGTCCATTTTATGGTTTTTTAAATTTATCTTTAGTTTTTTGGTCCATTTGATGTTTAAATACAACCAAGTTAGATGTGTAACAGGCACAAAGGCTGTGTGGCCGCTGTTCCAAGCATGGAGACGGCGCTTCCAGCGAACTCCCCTTTTGTCTTCATTATCACCGTGTGGGCTGGGGTGCCCTGGACCCACAGGTGGAGGCAAAAACCAAACCACAAGTGGGGCATAAGGGAGAGAGGGAGAGAGGAGAGTTTGAAAGGCAGTCAGCAGACGTGGGAACAGAGAAGCAAAGACAAAATAATAGAAAAAGGAGGGATGGGGGAGGGAGAGATGAGCACATTTCCCATCCTGCCTGTGCTGACACAGCCCCTCAGACACTAAGGGTGTAAGACAGCAAAGAGCCACATGGGCCCTCAGGCACACTCACGTTCACACTCACACATGCCGAGACAGCTGTGTCTAGGGCTGTGAACTGCCTCCTCCTTCCAGATACAGAAAGGCAGCTTTCCTGGGGACACTCCACGGTCCAGATAGTGGGGGTGGGGAGCACCCCCTACCTTCACCTGATCCTTTCCCCAGGAAACTGGAAGTTTCTCTCTTCCTCTCTCCCTCCCAGTGCATGTCACCCCCAGGCCTGAATTTGAGGGTACCCAAACGAGGGAGGGTACCAGGCTCACCCTAATCCCAGAAACAGACCTGCTTACTCATTCTGAGCACAAACACACACTTATCTCTTTGGAGCACACTTGTTTTTCCAAGGTTTTACATAGGAACCTGGCTGGGCCAACACCATTCTAGGAGGACACCTTTGGAATGAGCCCAGGGCTCTTCTTTTGTTCCTCTGAGAATTTCCAGGTGGTCCTGCTTAGAGACAGGGTACTGGACGGGTTGACTTACCTCCAGGGTCAAGGACAGAAGCCCTCTACTGCACTGCACCATGGCTGAGATGAGTCATGGGGTTGGGGGCCGCTTTATAGTATCCTGGGAGACCATTCAGCCTGGACTCTGGGCTTAGCAAAGGGGAGCTCAGAGGGGTGAAGCCACTTGCCCAAGGTCACACAGCATAAGGGAGAGCTGGGAAGCAAACATGGGTCTCTGGGAGCTTTTCCCCTAGGCCATGGCAGTGTCCTTCTGCTTAGACTCCTCTCCCAAGTAAGCTGGGCGTCTGTCATGGGAGCCTGGCGAGTCCCAGTCTATCCAGCTGCCCCCAGCACCTCAGGGGCTGGGGGCTGATCTTATCAGCAAAACAGCTGCTTTCTCAGTCTGACTGCCTCCTGCCCAGATGGTCTGGGGCTGCCAGAGCCTCTCTGGCAGCTGCCTCACCTCCACCACCTTTGGATATGCCTCACAGAAGAGCCTCCCCGCACCCACCCACCCGCCTCCTGACACACTCCTTCTGCCCTAGGCCACCCAAGCAGCCGGAGCTCAAGATCAACATCGTGGATTGTGAGGTCCGCAAGTCCTCTCAGCCTCCATTTATCTCCTCACCCGTAAAGTGGGGATAGTAATAGCACCTGCCTCCTGGGGTTGTACATTTATCTGCTCCTACTGACAATATTCCAAGTGCCAACTACGTGCCCGGTGAACGAAACCGAGTCCCAGCCGTTGGGGAGCGCCCGAGCAGGGCTGGGGGAACGATACTGGAAATCAACATTTCCGCGGGGCTTAAGTGATTTGGAGAAAAATACAGTAGGGTGAGGAGGATATATGATGGGGGGGGTGCTATTGATACAGGGTGGTCGAGGATGGCCTCTCCGAGCACACTACTTGGAGCGGAAAGTGCTGTTTTCAGGATTAAATGGGGCGCTCCCCCGCGTGGGTCATTTGTCCTGCTATTATCGTCGCGCCTGTGGAGTGCGGCCAGGGCTTTGGGCTGACAGTCCCCAGCCCGGGGCAGAGAAACTCCCCGGACCGCCCGAGGGGCGAGCGAGGCAGGACGCTGGCGGAGGGACAGGGGAGGTGACCGCGGAGGTGTTGGACGGAGACCGTGGCGGTGGCGGTGATGGAGGGAAGCGGCCGAGATGCTCCTCCCCATCCGAGACCTCCTCCCACCTCCTCGCCGGGGGTACCGAGCCCCGCTCCCGGCGATCCGCCAGCCCCGACCCCGCTGCCCCGCGCTCACTCACCGCGGCCGCCGCGTCTCGAGTCCCGCCGCTTCAGCTCCGCGCAGCAGCCCCGGCGCGCCCTGCGCGCCTCCGCCTCCGCCGCCGGCCCCCGGCGCCCCCCGCCCGCGCGCCCCCCACGTGGCCGCGGGAACCAGCAGCCCGTATCACCTGGCGGCGGCGCCCAGCCCTGGCCGGCCAATCGGCGCCCGCGGAGCCGCTCCGGTTAGGCGCGCCGCCCAATCAGCGGCCGCGAGGGGCCCTGGCACCGCCCCCGCCTGCTCGCGCCCCGGCGCTCCGCCTTAAAGGGCCTGAGGGGTCCTTCCCGCCCTGCGCCGTTCCCTCTTCTCGGGCTGAGGAGTCCGAGTGCCCAGGGCCTGGCTGGCGGTTCCCTCTTTGAGGAGACCTTCTCCTCCTGCTCCCTGGGAAGCTCCTCCTCCTCCAAACCGCGGCTCCCGCAGCTCCTCCTCCGGGAAGCCTTCCTGGACCACCAGTGACTCCTCCACCCCCTGCAGAGCCCTCGCGACTCTCGCTGGTCACGCCATTCCTCTTACTAGCGTGCAAGCGGCACTGATCAGGAGGGGCCTCCATCCCCAGGGCGCAGGACAGAGCCTGGTTGGTTCAGTGGTTGTCGTCTCGATCGAGTGACTGCGCGCAGGACCCGGCCTCCGGCGTCCGGGGCACCCGGACCAGACTCACCTTTCCTCCCCTCAGCCTCGGATGGCAGTGGGTATCCGCCGCCTCTTCCTCATCCTCTCCCCGCCCGGCCAGTTTCCTAGGACGATCCGAGTCCGCCCAGCTCGGCGTGAACGTTGGCCCCCCGCACTGGGGCCGTGACCCTAACCTTTGGGTCGCACGGAAATCCACTTAGATGGGGGAAACCTGGTGGGCACACCCAGCCCGAGTGTCAGCTTCAGCTTTGAACTGGAAAGCACTCTTGTCCCCATCAGGCCAGGGACCTTTTAGGTGCCAAAAATTACATTGCATACCCGATATAGCCCAGCCTTTGGTTCATGGGAAGCGTGAGTTCTGCGGAGGAAACGCGGGACATTGTGCACGTGCCACTCCTCGGAGAAAAAGCCAGAGCTCAAGTCCAATGGGAAGGGCACGCTGATAGAGGTGGGCAAGGCAGAGAGACAAGGTCTGGAGCTGAGGACCTCAGGCGGGTTCCAGGAGGAGGCTGGTTTCAGCCACGCCTGTCGGTGTCCGCCAGAGCATCTGCAGGCCCTTCCAGAGGCAGCACTGGGCTGTAACGGCTAGAGAGGCTTGGTCCCGAATTTGGGCACCTTGTCTTACGAGATGTGGGACCTTGGGCAAACACCTTAATCCCTTTAATCCTGAGTGCCTCGTCCGTAAGTGTTACTCACACGTGACTCATAGCAACGTCAGGATCCAATGAGTTATGTGGGCAAAGGGCTTGGCACAGTGCCTGACACACAGTAAGTGAGACACTCGATAATACTAGTTGGTGTTAAACTTTGCTTCTGTCCTTGAGTCTCTTTTACATATGACCGAATGGCAGGTGTTTAATGAATTCCACATATCAAGTGCTCTAGGAAGCCCTTCATGAAGCTGTGTGAGGGCCTTGGCCTTGAGTACCGTGATGAGAAAGAACTAGATGGTTTACAACTTGCTCCTGCTTTTTTGAAAATCTCAATTTATGGAATGCAGGGTACACAAAAGATAAAGGGTTAATTCTTACTAGCTTTTTTTAAAAAAGAAAAAAGCGTGTGAATTTTGTTTTGTTTTGAAAAGATTATTTATTTGAGGGGCACATGGGTGGCTCAGTCGGTTAAGACTCTGCCTTCAGCTCAGGTCATGATCCCAGGGTCCTGGGACTGAGCCTTACGGCGGGCTCACTGATCAGCAGGGAGCCTGCTTCTCCCTCTCCCTCTGCCTCTACGCCCCCTCTGTATTCTCTCAAATAAATAAATAAATTCTTTAAATTTTTTTTAAAATAAAGATTATTTATTTGAGAGAGCTGGGGGTGGTGGAGGGGTAGAGGGAGAGTCTCAGGCAGACTGCGGAGTATGGTGCTTGGACTGTGAATTTTTTAAAAATTTATTTATTTGACAGAGTGAGAGAGATCATAAGTAGGCAGAGAGGCAGGCAGAGAGAGGGGGAAGCAGGCTCCCTGCCGAGCAGAGAGCCTGATGCAGGGCTCCATCCCGGAACCCTGGGACCACGACCTAAGCCGAAAGCAGAGGCTTTAACCCACTGAACCACCCAGGCGCCCCTAGTTTGTGAATTTTAAATAAAGGACTTGCCAGTTACTAAATTTGCAGTCCCACTTTGACTATTCAGAGAAAACAATACAAGTCACAGCTGTATTAACTCCAGCTCTAACAAGTTTCTGATGCATGCAATTAACTCTGATCATACACTTTTAAAAACAGGGATGAGGAATGCCTAGGTGGCTTTGTTGGTTAAGTGCCTGCCTTCAGGTCAGGTCATGATCCCAGGGTCCTGGGATAGAGTCCTGCATCAGGCTCCTTGCTCAGCAGAGAGCCTGCTTCTCCCTCTGAATGCAGCGCTCCCTGCCTGTGCTCCCTCTCTCTCCCTGACAAATAAATAAAATATTTTAAAAATAAATAAATAAACGAGGGACTGGAATTTGCTTCAGGACAAAATGAAAAAAGACCAAGGAATTAAAATCAGATGGTGAAACAGGCAAATCAGAAAGAGAATTCTGCTTTCTAAACGCTTCTCAGGATAAGGGGACAGGTCAAGATCTCAATGGCAGGCACTGCGCTAGGTCCCAGAGATCCTGAGATTTTAAACAAAACATCACAGATCTGGAAAGATAATGTACAAAATATATGTTACATTGGCTCCCGACCACTCAGGATCCCCTTTTCATTGATCTTCATCCCTACCCAGGGATACAATGTTTCAAAACCATTAAATACATTTATACATTTGAAGTTCATTCCTTCATTTTTATTTATATATCAAAGTGATGTAAGTGCTTATCTGAGCGATTCCCCCAGGTTACCAAATTCAGTTGATCTAATTCCAGTAGAAGCACAGACTCTCCAAGCTTCTACTGTGCACACAGGCTTACTAAAGGTGCGTTAGATGTAAAAGCTGATGTTTGCATCAAAGGAGACAGACGCCGGCGAGTGTCAGCCACCTCCGCGTCAAGCCAACCTAGTTCCACTCAGGATGGCCACATAAGCTTGTCATTGCTGCATCCTTATCCACCCCGTCTCTAATCCTACATTCTTGACAACACAGCTCCCCGGAGCCATCAGGGTGGGACTTCAACCATTGGATTCATGACTCACTCTTGCAGAAAGCCCAAAGGAATGATCTATATTCAGCAGAGAAAGAAATGACAAAAAAGGCAAGCTGGGGCGCTGGATTCATGAGCCCTGAATGTGCTGGGGTGCGTGGCCAGGCCGTGGTGATTTCCTGATGAATCAGTAACATTGACTGAACTTGCTTGCTCTCACAATCTCCCCTTTTCTCTAAAATCCCAGAATTTCATACTGGAGCTGTCAGCTGATGAATGTGAGTGGGAAGTAACACCACCTCATTTCGAATCTGATCGCCGAGGTGGCGAGCCTGCCACAAGCCTGGGCGCAGCAGCTCCTGCACATCTGGCTTTCACAGGGCAAGCTGCCATGCGTCTGCTCTGTAACACTTCCCCATGTTGATAGTTACTTTCAACCCTGAGCACCAATAATTCCATTCTCTAAGGTGACTGTCCCTGCAACTTACCCCCAATAGTGCACCCTCCCAAAGTAAGTGACCTAGGACACAAATTCAACAACAGAAAATCAACCAACCCAGAGAGGTGTTATGGGTTGAACTGTATCCCCTCTCTTAAGCCCCTAGTATTCAAGTCCTAACCCCTAGTGCCTCAGAATGTGACTGTGATTCAAAGAAAGTCTGTGAAGAGGTAAATTAAAATGAGGTCACTCTTCCAGTATCACAGTGGGGGGTCCTGATAAGAAGAGGAAATTCAGACACAGACACACACAGAGGGGAAACAAGGTGAAGACACAGGAGGAGAGCCATGCATAAGCCGAGGAGAAGGACTGGGACAGATCTTCCCTTGGCTCTCAGAACTAGTCCTGTTGACACCTTCCACTTGGACTTCTAGATGACAGAACTGTGGGATGAGCTGCTGGTAAACAACCCGGTCTTTGCTACTTCGTGACAGCAGCCCAAGGCAACTTAAGACCGTGATTAATATAAGATCCCTTTTCACCCATTCAAAACGTGGAGGACAACCCTATGGGGCCAGATCCCTCTTCCCATGTGTTCTGGGTTGGCAAAGTGTGGAGGTTACGGGATCAGAGAAACGTGATCACTTTTCCAATTGGGAAAAGTTCCAACTGGGAACCAGAAGGTTAAGTGCCTTGCCTGAGTTCCAAATGGGACACAGACTGTAGGCACCTGTCAGGGGGTCACGGTTCGGGGAGTGCTTCTGCTTCTGGGG